AAGCAAGACTTGGATCACACAAAAAAGGGAAAAGCTATCTGTCAGTGTAATCTACAAAGCGTACAATATTCTAGCTTAGAACTTGAAAGATGAATGAAGATTAAGGTAGATGAATCACCAGATACAGTCAAGTTGTGATCTATATAGCCGGTTGAAATTCTAACGTGTTTTAAAATGAATTCAACAGGCAATAGCATTTCCTTGCCATCCTTAGTTCCCTAATTAACAATAAGTATCGGAACTGACTCAATCACTGGTAATTAAGCTTGAAAAGTTGGGAAACCTTACAAAATAAATTCGTTCTCCAAAATAATTCTGCACCTTGACACCATAGGTGGACCTTCCATATGCCTAGTGGGGGCAACGGCTCCCATGGAACAAATATTTATTTTTACTTTTTTTGTCATTATTTTTCTGACATATATACGTCTTTTCTGATTGAGAACATAAACTTCCATTACCATTAGATGCCGCAGATATTTGATTAATTTTAACTGACTCAAATAGTCAAACTCTCACGTGAACCTTCCATATTTTGTCAACTAACCCAAAAAGAGAAGAAAAATAATCATTTTGCAGTTTCACTCTTTCTTCTTATGGATTTCATTGCATCTCTCTAAGTTTTTTTGGCCTATAAAGCTCTCACCAAGAGCTCCAACTGCCTTAAGCTACTCTACATTTTCACCTTCATGTCCTACGGGGTTTCAATATCCCAACAAATACAGACAAAAAAACAGAAAGGACTGTAATATTGCACGTTCAAGAGAACTACTTATATTAAGGCAAGCAGGTTAGGCTTAATTAAAAAGTATTTCATGCGCAAAACTGTATATGAACATTTAACCAAAGGGAAAAAAATATTCCCAAAACCAGGTGAAGCAACAAAATTGTTTCATAAAAATCACACTAAAGCATCCGTCGAATTCAATGGAGAAGTTAAAACAAAGAATCTTTTAATCTTTCCCCTAAATTAAATTATAGTTTCTCTCCAAACTCCTACTTCACCAAGCAGTTCAGCTCAGCACTAATCAAAATGACAGCTTCCGCGCATTTACCTAAAGGAGCCAACCTATTCAGCGCCCTCAATCAAATTTGAAAGAATAAGAAGTAAACGGAGGTAAAGCCAGTGTTCCCAAACTACCCTTTTTTTCAAAAGCCCAATCTCGTTCTCGAAACTAGAGCATAACGCCACGACTTCTTCCAAATTTAGTTAATTCCCCCCTAAAAACCCACTACTAAAACCCTAAACTCGATCTCAAATCGATCCATTCAACTCGAAACGACGTCAAATGAAGCCATGACTTGAAACCCAAAAAAAACACTGAACCAGTTCAAATTAACAGATTTTGAAAAAGAAAAAAAACAAAACAAAACAAAATGCTTGGCTTACTAGCATCGATCGCAGAGCTCAGCATACTCTCCCGTACGTAGCCGCCAGCCCTTTCTCGGATGCTCCGATTTCAATTCCTTGCACTCGGAATTGTAGCAGACCTTGGAAGACGACGACGACATCGAAGAAGCTCCACATACAAGAAACTAAAACCCTAGAAATTAAGCAGCGGGGGAGTTATAGAGAGAGAAAGTAGAGCGAGAGAGAGAGAGAGAGCAGTATAGATATCGAAATACAGTGGTTTGTTTCGGCCTGATCTGTACGTAATCATATAGAGCGAGAGAGAGAGAGAGACAGAGACAGAGACAGAGACAGAGGAGTTAGAGAGGGTTTTAGAGAGAGATAGAAAGAAAGAAAGAAAATGTATTTATTTCTGGAAGTGAGAGAAAATAATTAAATAACTAAATGCGTGAAAATTATATTTAAGCCTTTTCCTTTTTTTGTTGAAAAATATTTAACACTTAAAAGGAAGCTTTAAAAACACGTCCAGTTTTGACCAAAAAAAAAAAAAAAAAAAAACAAGTCCAGTCGTGGCCTTATGTTCGGCGTCGTCGTTTCTCTCTCAAACTTTTTTTGTTTAATTTTTTTAAGTTTCTAATAATATCTAATGTCGTTGTCGTCCCAGCTTTGAATATCAAATTCCCATTTTATCCGCAAAAGCCACAGACGACAGCCCTGTATGTATGCCTACCTGTGCTAACGAGACGGGCGTTTTAGTAATTTGGAGCTAAGTTGGATAGAGAGAGCGAGTTTAGAAATTTGTTTACTCGCGAGAGTAGGGAGTTTTGGTCGCTTACAAGGTGTGGGTGATTTGGGGTATAATCAGATGCATGGCCCGCTAAAGGTCATGCAATCACGTAACGCCTACTTCTCTTGCCTTGTCGTTGGTTTGACGTCTTCCATTCGCTAATGTTTTTACTATTTATGGTACTGTTTGGTTTATGTTGGTTGTTTGTTATAAATGAAAATAGAATTTTTAAAAAAATAACATTTACACAGTGTATTTACACATAATGGGAATCATAAAAAAGTTACGAATACGGTAGAAAATAGGTATTAGATATTATGAATTTTAATGTGAAATTCGCATTCAACGCATAATAGGTATTTTGCGATACAATTTTGCATATCGACTATATCAGTGTGATAAAATATTAAATGCTAAAACTTACTTGATGCGAGTGATGAATAATGATGAAGCTTAGCAAAAATATAGTCTGTCTCGGCCACATCTATCTAAGCCTAACAATGTTGTGTTGTATTCCTTCTTGGTTACTTCTTATTTCTTCCTAGGAGGAAGCTAACAAGTTTTGCAATTTAGTGATCAGACGCCCACGGACAGCCAGCCACATATACCTCTCCATATCCAATAACATTTTTGGACACTTATGTGAAAGAGATAAGAGGGATTTGTTTTTTTGGACTTTTCACATGAAAATCCATAAATAGAGACCAAAATATAAATTTATCTTCTTCTTTTTGCCCTTTTGGCTATAGATTAATACATACACATGTGAAAATGAACATATATATATATATATGCTGGCTAGATAAGATAGATAATACCAAATAAATTTTGTACTAGTTTGCCTTAGCTGCCATCGATACGTTGCCTTAATTAGCTCGTTTTCACTGAGCTGTACCGTTATGTACTTAAGAAACAAAACTAATAATAATAATATATAGGTGATGGATAATTATGATTAAGATATAGGCTGAATAAAAGAGGCCAATTGCTTGGTGGTCTCGTCTCAAGCTAAGCTAGAGTGGCATTGTAGGTCTAGGATTCATCATACGTGATTTGTAACAAAACTACAAAAGGGGAAAACCCACTAAGAAAGAATGTCCACATATGCATGTATACCACGTAAGCAAGGTAGATATATATCACAATTTACATGCCAAAAATTAGTGTTTGGTTTTCTTGGTTGAGTTTTGACTTTAGAAGTTGAGATGAAGGGTCAATGGAGTTTTCAATGTAAAAAAGTGGTGGGAGTATAAATTTAAGATTTAAAGTGTAAAAAGAGTTTTACGTTGATTAAGTCAGTTGGTCAATGACAATATGTTCGCCTTTTGAATCCGAGTTTGATCCCTTTCTTAAAATAGAACCAGAGTTGTTAATTTTTTTTTTTACTTTTTTGCTCTTTTTGTGAATAAGAGACCTAAACTGATTGACATATGTATGCATTGCTCGTCAATCCCCACTTATCATTGACCACAATTTAATTTGGAGTTGAAATGATTTGGACCACGTTGTATATTTGAATTTGAGTGAACCCTGTAGCAGGCGTGTTGACGCTGCCATGATGAACCCCCACGTCATATCTAACTTTTAGATGCATATATAAATCATACATAAAAACCTATGACTGGTATTATTATGATAACGTGCCCATCATTGTCACATCTTGCATCATAATGAATTATATTCCATAATTGTTATTATTAACTTTTCATCACATAATTGTTATTTTTTTAATCTTTTGTTTATGGAGTGAATGAATTCTTTTTGTGTACTAGAATGCTAATTATTTATGTCAACGCCAGATTTCTCAATTACCAAAACACATGGACGACTTTTATTGCAAAGGTCAATGATTTAAGCTGTCGAAAACAATTATATGTAATTACTTTAATTACTAGAATGTCGGCAGGCATGTTCAACATGCCTTCTATTATTCGTTTCCAGCATATTAACATTATAAATTAATTAGCATTATACAAATACATTTCGTACTGGTCATCTATATATATTGGATGCATTAAGGATCTTGTTTTATTTCATGGCTTCGTGCAACCTGCAGTCTCCGTTGATGGGCTAAATCTGAATCTTTCTGTATTGCTGTCTACGAATCTGTGCCATATAACAGTGAGGAGGCATTGCAGAAGGCTGTTTCGATGCAACCGGTCGCAGCTGCGGTTGAAGGCGGAGGAATGACATTCCAACATTACTCCAGTGGGGTCTTTTCTGGAGTTGTGGGATGTTACTTGACCATGGTGTTACAGTCGTTGGCTATGGCAAAAATTAAGACGGCATTATTGGTGGGGTGAGCGTGGCCCATGAGAATTCCCAAAGATGTTGATTTTCCAGAAGGTCTGTGTGGCATTGCCATGTATGCTTGCTATCCAGTTGTATTACATGCACCTGACTACAATTTTTAAATTGGATTACTTTTCACAGAGAATATGCATGGCCGAAAAAGAGACAATTGGCTTGATGATGGAGTGCTGAAATTAAAGAGATTTGTCACATGAGATTTGGGCGAGCAAAAGTGACATGAACTTGTTGGCCCTAGTCTCTACAATGACAGGCTTCCACACCAAAAAAAAAGTGGGGTTCTTCTCTTGTTTATGGAAAAATTACCTGTCTTAGAAAGTAAGTGAGCAATCTGCATTCACATTTGGTCTTAAGGTTTCTATCATTGAAACGCTCATGTATTCATGTATTTCAGAAGGTGGAATGAAATATGGTCTCTGGATTTACCAGAGTCGTATGCATTTCTGTACTACAAATCTGTTTCAGAACAAAAGAAAACTGTAAAATCAAAGCAAAAGAGTGAAAGACAAACTGCACATTACTTCGACAGTAATCTTGGTAGCTGTTACAAAATCACTTTTCAGCAAGCAACTTGCCGACGAACGAATCGCTTGTACTCCTTGCAGCTTTGTACAGGGTGGATTCTGCTTGGTATCTCGATGCGTAACCAAAATCAAATACTTGATAAGAAGTAGACTTTATACCGGGGAAAACAGAGTAGCTAAACCTTGATCCACAGTTATTTGAAGTTTATCATAGGCCATCAGTGTCTTTTGGTCACATTTGTATGCTCCTTTGCCCCTAGCCAGGACCTCACCATCTGAGTCTATAATCCCTCCCCTTGTGGGGTCCTCAGTGAGAGGACCTGGTTCCAAAATTAATGCTTTCACCTGCAGTATGTCGCGCGATGAAAGAGAATGTAAACAGAAGTGGAACATTAGTAAAGCTTCTTGTATATACCAAAAGGCAGACACGGAATATTAAAGCTAAACTAAATGCTTGATAATTTGGTTTTTCTGACCTTGAAGTACATGACATATGGTGAATTGACATGACTTCCTGTGCTCAACCCTGACATCAACGAGAGCAAGGATAGTTTTGGACAAGCCCTCATAATTATCATGTCTAGGTAACCATCTGAGAACTGCACACCAACAGGCAAAAAGAGCACAAATACATGTGAATTATTCGAGTTTTGAATAAATATCCCTTGACAGTAGTAGCGGAGAAGTATCTGAAGCAGATGCTAATCAATTTTACAGTCCAACCTTAGCATCAGGCGCTGCCTTTGTGTCTTCACTCCCCCAAGGGACATTGTGAAGCCAGACTGAAACGAATGGCCCACTGATAGTTCTCCAGTCCATGTTCTCCAAGTTAATATCAGGTCCCTCATAGCCATGCTGTCGAATGTTAACAGACTCCTCTTGACTTGGACCACATTTATTGTGATGGTTAGTAGGTTCACTAATGTTGTTGTAACTAGTAGGCTCCCCATAAGCTTCAAAGCCAGGTGCAGGCACAAAGGAAATAGATCCATTATATTGCCTCAAATGCACAATTCGTTGAACAGCCTAAAATATAGAAACAATTAGCATACAAGTGACATTTTCCACCAAGAAATGCTACAAAGAAGAACCCTATTTAATTGTGACATTTGAAGTTTGAAATCCTTGAGAAAGAATCGGATACTACTAGTTTTCATTATTTTACAACTGTTGGAGACCTAATTGTAATATAAATTTGATTTACCATAAGAAATGATTAAATTTGAACTCACCTGTTGAAGCATTCTATGATAATTCCTATTTGAAGACACTATTAGGTCCTAAAAATTTGTACAGCAACTAATTTAACAAAACAAATAGTGTTATACTTGGAAGTTTTGATTCTAGACCTAAATTCAATGCAGTGGTTAATAATAATACCAGGGCAACAAATCACGTAAAAGGATACACAAGCACACAAACATCTAAATGAGCAACGGCATAAACTAGTAAAGTAGAACATAATAAATGAGAGCTAAACTTACATAGAAATCTAGACGCGCACTTCCCATCCACCTATACTTCTCAGACTCAATGTCAACATCTGCCACTAACCCTGAAAGCATATGAAAAATCATATTGCTGTGAGAATCAGTTATTCTAGTAGGAATTATTCCAGTACAACTAGAAACTTATAGAAATAGCATAGTATATTCCACTATCCAGTGGTGATAGTTTTGACGCACCCCATGCAAGCATCAATACACTGAAGAATTTGGTCTTCCCCTGCCATATGGTAGCTACATCCAGTGAACGCTTATTCCCTGGCCATAAATAAACCACAAAGAAGAAAATATCATTAATCAAAAGAACTAAGTACCAACAGATTATAGGGAGAGAAAGGGAGCAAAGCTATTATTTTGAACACAATATATTGATGCACAGACAGCATATGTAACCTCGAATAATGGCAAGAATAGCATTAGATGCTGTACAAGGTTCACCAACAGAATCCAAAAGAGATTTTGCCATTCCATTTCCTGTACCTAAATGAAGAAACATCTCTTGTCAGGAATTAATCTTGAAAACAACCAACTAATAACTCTGTTTGTTTTGATGCACAAATTATCACAATTCACTGCAGTGGCCTCACCTTCCATAAAATGAATGATCTAGAAATTTCCAGAGATTTTTATTTTCTTTCTAAATATAAAGAAAATTGAGAGAGAAAGAGTATTGAACCTGCAGGAACTACTCCAAGAGGCATCTTTATTGCAGCTTCCCAATCCTCTCTCTCAAGGAGTCCATTTACTACCTACTAAAAAGTGCAATGCTTATAAGAAGAAAAATGTAAGCTTAATCTATCCATATGATCCTGAAGACAACTGTACCGGATTAGCATGATATAAACATAAAACTAAACCAAAAATAGATTCTTTGTTGTGTTTCAGACTAATAACATTGCCAGTCAGTTGATTTGCCACTTTCAGTTAGAGACCGTCGCAGCTTTAAAAACTTGTTAGAACAAATTAACACTATATGTTTACCAAATTACCAGCAGCTCTGAAAAAAAATAAAAAAAAATAAAAAAATCTAACTCATTGGAGGAAAACAAAAGGGCTGGTCATTATATATAAGTAATTTGAAATTCCTCGAGGAAGTTGTTTGCACAATCACAAGATGGCATTCCTTGTGTTTAATAACTCTGCAACAAAATCATATTCACATAGCTAGTGATCACTGGCAACCAACCTCAACCAAGATTCCATCCCCACTAACACAAACAATGCCATCATACTTTGAAAGATCTAGTGTTTTAGCAACTTCCTTCGCATGTAGTTGATATTGAGTTTCTGAAACATTGATTGAAAAAATAATTACAAAGGGGATACATTAACTTGACCTACAATCCACAAATCCAAAACTTGGCACATCAACTATTAAGCAAGATTTTAAGGAAGATTCCGAACCTTGTAGTGTAAATTGGATATTAGCATCCTGGAAAAGAGGTTTTACGTGTTCAGCATATATTTTTGAAGCGGATTTGTTCCCACCAAATGGATTCACAAAAACGAAGAGCCTCTTTGGCCGCCCTGTTACAAAGAGAATAAGTTACCATCTATATTATCACAATAAATGCAAGAAGTAATATAAAAAAACCAAAAACTTTTCAATTTTCTTTTCAATTAATTTAAAAATAAAAAAAAAAAAAAAAAAAAAAAAAAAGTTAGTGAATTTAGACTAAAAAGAGCTTCAGTAGCTTAAGTGAACAAAATTGAAACAAAAACAACGGAAATTCAAAATCGCGCAACGGTCAAACAACCCAAAGTCAAAAGTCCAAAGTCAAAACTTCCCAAGCATTCATTTCCGTTCCTGCATTTTCCTATCAACCAAACAGGACAGAAGCCAAATAGAGCATAGATGATTACCCAGAGAATCAATGTGTTCGCGGAGCTTCTGGCACCAGAGCCTATGCGAGTCCTCAGAGAGAGGCTTGAAGACGAATTCTTTCCTCACCACAGCTCCTCTGCTCGCGACGCAGCAGATTCCATCTCCGTCTTCCACTAAGGCTCTGATCCTGATCTTCGGACCCTCCGCTGCGAACCCGAGGACCTCCTTCTCCACGATCAAGCTCCGTTGACCTCTCTCCGACCACCGGAGAACTCCATCAGCGAATAGAGTCACCGGAGTGACGGTGCCGTTTATGAGGACCCGGTCGGAGAGTACGGGTTGCGGTTGAGCGGAGTCGGGTCGGTCCATGTTGGATTGTGTTTCAAGTCTTCAAAGAGTCGTTGAGGCTCTTCTTTGGAGTCTGAAGTCTGATGTAGAAATTTATGCGCTCGTTGGCGCAGACACCGGTTCACTTTGGTTGAAGTTGAAAGAAGCGAACCGAACGTGAACGATGCCAACGGAAATTGGTTTCATTTACCAAAAAAACCTTATAAAACCGAAATTAGTTGTTGGGTTGATTGTAATTTGTATCATTCGGTTTATTCTATGATGCCCACAAAAGATAAAGAAATGTAGCGTTGGGGCCAAAGCTGCTTCGACATCCATCGAAAAGGAAAGGGAAAAGTATGTATATGAGATAAATTAAATTGTGACCTGTCCCTGCCCATTGGGGATGCGAAACAAATGCGTCAATAGTTTTTGACATCATATTTGGGGACAATGAAAATGTTTGGATTATTACAATTAAAGTTATACACCACTTACAAAGGATCAATTTTTAAGTTCGAGTCTCAGTATCCGTATTATGTGTGTGACTTTAATATACTATTGCCTTTAAATAAAAAAAGTCTTTAAAAAAAAAGGTTATACACTACTATTTGAAACATATATATCTCTAGACTAAGATGTAGTTGGCAATAGTCCGATCTAACAATGTTTCAACGTTGTTTAAAATCCAGTTTAGTTTAAAAATAGCAAATCAATGTTTCAAAGTTGTTAATGTTACATCAATTAGCTCTTATTTTGGTAGTACTTTCTTTCCAATATTAGAAGAAGTCCATAATTTGAAATCCCACTGATTGATTAGAATTTAGAAAAAACTTTGTTAATGCTGGATTTTACGTCATGCCCGAAAAAGGGTCGTGTAATGGCTTATGGCATCAATCTGACCTAGGTCCATTCTGGCTGGATATCCAAGTCCCAAATTATATGTTCTGGGCCGAGTTGAATGTACTCAAACCATTTGGGCCAAGTCAAATGTGCTCAAACCACTTTCATGTACTGAAGAAAAACACATGTGAACCGGCCTCTTAACCACAAGCGCACCATCTCGGAGCAGTGAAGCTGCAATGGTAGGCAAGGTCGAAGTGGAAGCGATTCCGGCGCCAAATCCCCGAGGCCGTCACATAAAGAAGAGGGCTCTTAAAAACAAAGCTCTCGCCGTCACGTTCAACGAGAAAGATCTCAGGTAGTAGACCGCCATCACGAGCTTCATCAGTAACGAAAACTAAGCCCTGAATTTTGTTCTTTTTGTATTTTGTGAATTGGATCTTTTTCATATTTGGGGTTTAACGTTTACTTCTTTTGGGTGTTTAACTTGGGTGGGCTTTGGTTTGTGAAGCGATTTTGTGTCTGGGTTTCACAAGAGGAAGAAGAAAAGGAGAAAGGAAGCCGAGAAGAAGCAAGGGGAGGCGCTACGGCGTAAGCGTCTTGAGCTGCGCAAAAAGGTTAGAATTTATGGTCAATTTTTGACCCTTGGATGGCCTATTTTTTATGGTATTTTTTCGTGTAATGATGTAGCTGTATTTTTTTGATCTTTGGATAATAGTCGATTGATGTAATCTCATTGTTGCCAAGTTACTGTTTTTGTTTGCGGATGACTGAAAAAGCAAAAACATATGTAAAGTTTATTTATTGACCGCAATTTCTTGGAACATAAGCTTAAGCTATTAGGATGTGGATCAGGAATAGCATTTCCCATTGACCACTAAGTCTCTGTTTGTTGGTCTGATTATCTGATACGAGCCATGAAGCCTGAAAATATGAATAGAATTATCAAGTTGTCTACAATAATGCAATTATATTGTCAAGTTTTGGTTAGTTGTGCTTTCATATTATTAGTTTCTAAAGAAAAATTGATTATTGAATTGCTGTATGTCCGCAAATAAACTTTGTTTCTCTTTTCCCTATGATGATTTTCATGCGCGTAACATAAAAAATTATTGTAGTACAGAAGATTCAACTTCTGGTAGGATGGTAGTTGCTGTGGAGGGATACTACTGCTAGGGATGTTACCAGAGCCTTTTTGTTGGAAAAAGCCAGTAGCACCATTTTTCTATGCCAAAAACTGAAAAGTTTGAAAATTTTGGTAACCAATGTCAACAAACTTAGTCTTGTTCTGCAAACATTTTCCACCATAGAAATCAGAAGAGAATGCCATATTGCACATGCATGATAGGGGTGTATTGCTTCTGAACATGTCCTCTCAGGCAGTCAAAGCCATATTGCAACTGTTCACCTTATGCAAGGGCTTTGACCTCAGGTAAACTTTGGCTAATTAAACCATTTTAACCCAGTAATTCTTGAATTTTGAGGCACAGAGATTTTATTTTTCTGCTGGGGGTGGGGGTCGGGAAGGAGGAGAAAAGGGGCCATCGTTGTTCATACATATTTCATCCTTTATGAGATTCTTCTTTTGATTTTGTTTGTTTGTGTTTTTTTTACAAGGGCACTGATAAATGTATGTTAACGTACTTGAAAAACAACCCAAGTTTTCATTATCTTACCTTTGGTAACGTTTGTTGCAGAGGAGACTAGAAAAGGAACTGGCTCTTAATGGTGACGCTCCCCCAGCCACTGACACAGCAGCTGATGAGAGTGATGAGTATGACGAGGATGATGAAAGTAGTGAGCCAGCACTACCAGTTTCAGGTATTTTCCAAAACTTTGATTCACAATGGATACAAACATGTATTTAAGCTACTTTTATGTGTCAGTACTTACTAAGAACTCGTGGGTTATATTGGGTGCTCTAGTGCTGCTAACCCTGCTCTAACCCTGTAGTGTTAACTTTTTAGTGGTTGGTCTTTTGGTTAGTGAGACAGTAACAAAGTTGGAACCAAAGGCACACACTATTGAATTTAGGAAATCTTTGACTTAAGTGGCAATTTAATCACATCACTTGCTACTGATCACAGAGTATTCATTATGTATGGCAAGATGGGAGTTATTAATTCTTTGTGTTTCCATATTTATAGATTTCTTCCCGTACTTGTGATATATGAAATGTGTCTATAGAACTTATAGTACCAAAAAGGTTTAAACTGTTGGGCACTAGTCTTTTGATGACTCATTTAAACCCCCTTGAATGTTCTTGCCTAAACAAATATAAAAGTACAAGTCATAGTAATGGCTTTTTGAATGTCAGATATATGAACTTATCCATGAATTTGTCCTTGGACTTTATATAAATAGAGGTGGATTGTGGTTTATTATGCTGTAATGCTTCAGTTCATGCTTAATCAGATTTGAGTTGACCTTTTGTTATTGCTTAAGGTACAACGACTTATGACAATGGTGACATGAAAGTCACTGTGACAACAAGCGAGATCTCTCGAGAAGAGGAAAGTGATTCAGATGAAAAGACAGACACAGCAATACCCCAATCAGTTGGAGCTTCTAAAAAGCACAGTGTACCTGTGAGCAAGACGAAACCTTTGAAAAAAGTTGCAAAACGAAAATCACGGCCCAAGCTGCAACGTAAAAGAGATAAAAGGAAGGGACCGGAAAAGACCAAGAAGAGGCGCTAGGTTTTGGTCTTCCCTTTCCTGATTCGTTGAGGTTGTAGGATCAACATGTCTTTCCTATAGAGAAATATGAAGTAGTGAACTCAGCTGCCCAGAACTTCCATTTGGGTCTGTGGAGTTTTTGGTTGTTTGAATCAAGCTTTTAGTTGTATACTGCCCATTTTTGTATTAGACCTTTGATTGAAATGGGATGTGTTACATTTTTCTGTTCTGCATAATCTCTTTATATTTCTTTTGGATATATTATATCTTTCATCCTTATCTGCATATGTTGTAGCATCTTTGTTAAAGTGAAGCTGTCGTCCCTTTATAGAGGAATTCAATTTGTTGAACAGATTTAATTATGGAAGTAGTAATGATGGGCAATGGAAATACTTAGGTGTGACTGTCACACACATATTATTAATAATAAATACACGTATTATGACACAAGGGAATTGTAGTATCACGTGGTGGTGTGACAATCACCGGAAGAATTTATCAAGTCAGATGGAAAGAAAATAACTCATTCATTACACATAACCAGAAAGAAATGTCCTAATCATAAAATGAAGTTGCTTAGCAAAGTAAACAAATTGAAATGGTAAATACCAGAAGTTTTGGTGCTTGTTCGTATCAGATTAGTAGGAAGAAATATTGCAGTTTGATTCCTTAAGCATGCTTGACTTTCTTCATCACTCATTTCTTAATTTTCTTTTAATACTCCTTTATTTTTGGTAAAAATAAAATCTTAAATTAGACGGCTACAATCGCCAAAGCACACACTTTTTCTGGACCCATACAAGCACACGCAAGCACACCCGAAGACTCACGTGGCCAATCATTAAAAAATTCAAAAGATTCCTAAACTTCAACGGATCCAACGGTCCTTATCGGTCGATTGTCCGCTCGCAAAAGATCTCAGCCACCGACCGAGGAGCAGTGAGAAATTCGCCACTGTTCGGAGCAAAAGAAAAAAAGAAAAGAAAAGAGGGCCACTGTAAGCCCAGCACACTGGGACAAAAAGCCTATCCCTCTCTTTTAATTGTTTCAAAGACGTTAGCCAGCGAGAAAATTCGCAGACGCTTCGACGAAACTTCTCAGATTCCTCAAATTCTCTCCCTCTCAGGTTTTTTTTTTTCTTTTCCCGCTCGCTTTTTTTTTCCCTACTTTTCCTTTTTCTTCTCATCCAATTTGATTCCACACATCACACATGGACTAAAGCAGAGAACGACTCGTGTTTTGGATCAGATTTCGTATTTTGTTTGGCTGCTCAGAAAACGGAAGAAAGAAAATAAATTCGAGTCGTTTTGTTGACTTTTGTTTGTTTATTGGTGTGTGTTTGCGTCTGGGAATGGAAAATTCAAGTCAAACTAAACGTTAGCTCTAAGTGATTTGAAAGTTTTGTGTATTTTGTCTGATTGGTTTCTTCCACTTTCTCAGCAAACGAACAGGAGGTTTAGTTTTGGGAACGGTGAAGATGCAGACGAGGTACATGGAGAGATCGAATAGTATGGCGAGGGAGAAGCGAGGTTTGGATTCGTCTTCAGCTGAAGAAGGCCAGCCAGATAGGAAACGGCCTGCTCTAGCCAGGTCCTTTTTTGTTTGGTTAAAAAAACTTGGATTTCCAGTTAATTTGAACTAATTTGTTAATTGTTGGGTGTGTTCTATTTGTAATTTAGCTGTAATGTAAAAATGGATATGAAATCTGTTACAATTTTGTGTTTTGTGTGAGAAATATTGGAACTTGAAGTGTTGAACTGATAAATGTGCTGTAGAAACTCAAAACTCATTTATATGTTGCGAATAATATGTAAAAAGTACAATTAAGAAGCTTTTTGCTCACAGTGCAACTGTGATTAGGAAGCTTTTCCCCCCTTCAAAGGTCTTGGTCTTAGTTCTATGTAATTAATTCATGCCCACTCTATAATTTATGTGTGTTCATGCCCAACTTCCCATATATCGCAAGTAGGGGCAACTATAATGTTCTGGAGTTAATTTTTTATCATAAGGGATGGTGGCTGACATACAAGTCCGCATTTTCTCTACTTGTGGAGGCGAAAAGAGTGTTGGTGCCCTGTAGTGTGGCACGCATTTTCTCTAATTGTGACATACAAGTCGTCTAATGACTATATCAGTTTCTTTTCAGATGTCTGATGCTTCTCTTATTCTTAAACACAACAATTTCATTGTGTTATCTAATTCTCTTAGGATTATGTTGGGCACAGTATCTGGAAATTAATCACTTTTGGCTTATATTGTTGTGGATTCATGTTATTCATTTGTTAGAGATGGACTTAAAAAACTACTTTTAGGAAAAAGAGAAAAAAGAATATAAACTTGGAATGAATTGAATGTCTTATGCATGATGAATGCACTCAAAATGTTGTTTATTGATAATATTCAACTTAATGCAGTGTAATTGTTGAAGCTCTCAAGGTGGATAGTCTGCAAAAGCTTTGCTCGTCATTGGAGCCAATTCTACGTAGAGTTGTAAGATATTTTAATTTTCTTGTGGACTTTTGTCTTCTCTGTGAAAGCTTAATATAACTGTCTCTATATGAATATCTAATGACCAGTATTCGATCCTTTTATATAAGGATATTGTGTGCAAAGCATTGTTGGATGTTTGTTATTTATTTAACGCTGCTGAACAGGTTAGTGAAGAGGTGGAGCGTGCTTTAGCAAAATTAGGCTCTGCCAAACTTACTGGAAGGTATCAACCCTTTCCCCCTTTTCCTCCTGTTAACGGGTTCCAATCCTCTTTTGTTTCCATTTTTCTATTTAGGAAGTTCTGATGCCTCCATATAAATAGTTTGTTCTTCTAATGGGTTCAAAAACAGCAGGTCTTCTCCTAAACAAATTGAAGGGCCTGATGGAAGACACTTGCAGCTGCACTTTAGGTCTAGGTTGTCTCTTCCTCTCTTTACTGGTGGAAAAGTAGAAGGGGAGTGGGGTTCTGCAATCCCTATTGTCTTGATTGATGCAAATACAAAGCTCGTTGTCACATCAGGCCCAGAGTCTGTGGTGAAACTAGATGTTGTTGTGCTTGAAGGTGATTTTAACAATGAGGATGATGATAACTGGACCGAAGAAGAATTTGAGAGCCATGTGGTGAAGGAGCGTGAAGGAAAGAGGCCACTTCTGACTGGGGATCTGCAAGTGACTCTGAAGGAAGGTGTAGGAACACTAGGGGAGCTAACATTTACTGATAACTCTAGCTGGATTAGGAGCAGAAAATTCAGGCTAGGACTGAAAGTTGCCTCAGGCTATTGCGAGGGCATTCGTATACGGGAAGCAAAAACAGATGCCTTTACTGTTAAGGATCACCGTGGGGAATGTGAGTTCATAATTAGTGTTATTTCATGTTTCCTTTGTTTGTTTGCTGAAAAAAAGTCAGAACGGTCAGTTTTGTTTTGTTTGCTTTACAGTATACAAGAAACACTACCCACCTACTTTAAATGATGAGGTCTGGAGATTGGAGAAAATCGGAAAAGATGGCTCATTCCACAAGAGACTGAATAAAGCTGGAATTGTTACAGTTGAAGACTTCCTAAGACTTGTGGTTAGAGACTCGCAGAGATTGCGGAATGTAAGATTGTGGAATTGTTTGTCGTGTTCAGATAATGAAGTTTCAGTTCCTAATTATTTTTCTGTCCATTTGTCATAGATTCTTGGAAGTGGCATGTCGAATAAGATGTGGGATGTCCTTATACAGCATGCAAAAACTTGTCTTCTAGTTGGGAAACTCTATGTCTACTATCCTGATGATGCAAGGAATGTTGGCGTTGTTTTTAACGATATCTATGAGTTGAGTGGCTTAATTACCAATGAACAATTTTACTCTGCCGATTCACTCTCGGACAGTCAGAAGGTATGTGACCCTCTGGTTTCTCTTTTTTCATGTATATTTTATACTGCCTGGATTTGATATATTTTATTGTTTTGTGTTCCTTCTTATAACAACTGATACTACTAGTGCAATGTTGTAAACCACTAAACTCAATTAGGTTGCCTCCGTTTTGTCCAAATGGGCAATTCTTTCTCACTGAAGAATCCAGTCCATATGCACTTTCTATTTTATTTACAAATAACCCTCTTTCTCTGCGGGAGATTGACATGGTTAATGTATCAGAAGTGATGCAAAGTAGTAATTAGCCGTGATCCCTCAAAGTTTTATTGGGGCTGTTAAAGCGATACTTTTATATGTTAGTAGATTTTCCAGCAAAGAATTCTTTAGTTTCTAAACTATGCCAAAAAGGTGAATCTGAGAGAATTGTGAATGGTTTTGTTTCTTTCAGGTCTACGTGGACGGTTTGGTGAAGAAGGCATATGACAACTGGATGCATGTGATGGAGTATGATGGAAAGTCTCTTTTAAACTTTAAGCAGCAGAAGAGTCCAGAGGCTTCTCTACCTGAGGTTCCATTGGCCACGCAAGATTATCCAAACTCATTTGATCAATTCACCCTACCTAGCCTTCCAGTTTCAGTTTCTGCAGAACAGCCTACTATGGACTCGGGCCTAAGTGTAGGAGGTATATATATTTAATTTTGGCACAAATTGGTCATATTCAATTATTCTTTTAACTATCCCTGAAAACTTGTGATTTTTTTTAAGTGTAGGTATGTGTTTTAAAATCCCCTGAGATATGAAAGGAAAAAACTGTTGTTATGAGTGTTTCGGCTAAACTGTGGTTTCTAATGTCTGTGAATGCTCTCTCTCTCTAGGTTATAATGATGACATGGCTACCAGATTCTCAACACAGAATGTAAATCTCAGTGCTCCGATTCAGCTTGATGGTTTGGCATTTCCTCTACAGAATCAGTTGCCTAGCACTTCAAACCAGGCTCATTTTCAAAGAAATGAAAACATGCTTGCCCTTGGTCCACCACAGTCATCCACATCAGGGTTCCAGAATATTGGTACATCCAATCTTACTTCTTATAGGGGAGTTGAGGACCTCTTCCCAGAGGAAGAAATTCGTATGAGGAGCCATGAGATGCTTGAAAATGAAGATATGCAGCATCTACTTCGTATCTTTAACATGGGTGGTCAAGGTCACGGTCACGGTCACGGTCATGGTTATGGACATGCCTCCATGAACGTTACCGAAGACAATTATCCTTATTCCACAGCATACATCCCCACTCCACCAGTGAACTACAATATTGATGATGATCGCAGTCGTTCATCTGGAAAAGCTGTTGTTGGCTGGCTCAAGCTCAAGGCAGCCCTTAGATGGGGCATATTCATCAGAAAGAAGGCTGCTGAGAGACGGGCACAGCTAGTTGAGTTGGATGATTCATAAATATGACTTGTACGCGGCAAAGCTGATCGGATTTTGGTGTCTCTAGGCTTTCGTCTTCTCCGCCTCCCTGATTCCTGTCATGCTGCAGCTTCTAACACAATGGAGGACTATGGTTGCGGGCGGATATCAATGGATAAAACCTTAAGTTCGAGCTGTCCTGCTGTTTCTTGGAATACAAGCCTGACATTCTTGGGACCACTCTGCTTGTACAGTTCGTGTGCAGTAAGCTTATGTCTTCTATTGACACCTGCTTTTACGGTTGTGTTTTACTGCTGGCAACATAAAACAACATTCTTGCCTGCAAGTTCTGAAACCAACAGGAGTTGAGCTGTTTCAACTGAAGGCCTTTGCTAATCTGAGAATAGCATTTCGGAGGGGAAACTTTCCTGCATAACTAGAGAGTCAGCGAAGGTTTTTTCTTGTTTACATTTGTAAGTGATTATGATAGTATGAGGGTAGGCGAGTTCTACAGTTATTTGCTAGTATGCTGTACTTTTATCATGCCCTTAATTTGTGTTAGTGGCGATCTGACACCACTAATGTGCGTTTTGTGTTGCTTTGTAATTCGATATTAATAATTGAAATTGTTGGATCGTTTCATGTTTTCACATTTCATCAGCAATAAGAAGCTCTATATTGATTTATTTGTTTTTCAAGAACATATGGCTATGGACATTTCATCTTATTTTTCAAGATCCTCAAAGCTTCGTTCTTTTCCTTTCTTTTGGGTAGAAGGTATTTGTTAAATTGAGTTTACAATACGAAACTCGATTAAGAAATTCAGATGTTACTCGTACCAAAAAGCAACCTACGATTTTTTTGGTTTTGTTCGACAATAAAAGCCCAATTTTCAGTTCTCTATTTTATATTTACAAAATGTAATTACGAGAGAAAAATAACTATGACACATGCTCTAGAAACAAAATGTAAAACACATTTGTTTGCGAGAACAAAATTATGATACACGCCGAGGAAGAGAACGTAAAACAAACAAATTTGTCCTAGGAGAGAGTGAGAAATTAATTTATATTTACAAGTCATTCTGCATCTGAGACTTCGTCTTCATCTTCCTCCAGAATGTAGACCAAGGCACGTTTTCTTGCAGCAAAAACACAAGCCACGCCTCTTGATGCTGTTACAACAAATTCAGCCGATATTTCAAAAAACAAAAACATAAACACGCACAATTCCCATGTTGCAGACACAAGTGATAGAACAAGTTGATTTGAACTCAGAAACAATTTAAAGAACTTACAACTGACTGCCAGTGGAGCAATAACAGAGTGAGGTATACTGCGAACCTTCTCATGCTCCATTTGCAAGTGAACGACAGAGTCCTAAATGTACATGTTTTAGAAAAGTATCATATACCACAGAGCAACATGCGAACAGAGAGATCAGGAGTCACAGGATTTTTTTATATTAAGTAATTTAACACAATGAATGCGCGAGGGAGCAAAGATTAGAATTACCTCTAGTTGATGCAACTTCCAGTAGTTTAGACCAGTGGATCTTGAGATAGATACAAATGGAAGGTCATTTGCTTGCACAATCATCATAGAAGCATTTCCAGAACTTTCAGAAGTGGCAGTTGTTTCATTCAATAACAGAACAATCTGACTTTCCTGTTATATATTATAAAGCACTTTAAGTGACCTTCCAAAAAACAAAAATTGAGATGACTGTACATGGTAACTTAGGTCTTTACCTTATATAAGGAAAGATCCGCACAGCAATAACCACCAGGGACACACAATAATACAGCTTCTAGTGAAGTATAACCCCTCTTTACACTGATCGAGTCATGCATAAACCCTCTCACTATGCCTATACAATTCGAAACTCCGGAGAAAGAATCATCTGGTATTTGGAAAGATATGTAATCAAGAAGCATGTGTCGACTCTGATGAGAAGAGACAGATTGGGAGGCATCCTATGGAGTATGAAAGAAAACAAAGAGCTAATGTCATTGATAGTGAATTTTAAGTACTGGAATCCCTTTTTTATTTTTCTGAATAATAGAACAATTGCTGGTTGATCATGCATGTTAAAAACATCCTTAATTGCAAAAACAATAAATACCTCGTAATATGATACTGACATCGGAATAGTGGAAGACAAAGATGCGGACGAAGGTGGAAGAGGGCAAAGCGGTAATAAATCCCCGCACAGTATCTTTCTTGAAATTGTAGTAAAAGGCATCAGAAAAGCCTCCTTAAAACTAGAAGAACAAGGGGGCATCTGTAAGTTCAGATAGAAAAAGCACGTACTATTCAAAGAAGACTATGTATACATGCTTATATGTCAGCGTGTGCACGCCCACTTGCTTGTCTTTGTCAATGACTCGGTGTTAAGTTAATCAAGCAGGATCCCATTTTCATTTCATGTTACTTGGGAAAGTTTTGGAGTAAAGAATAAACAAATTTATACTTTCATGGTGACTGAAGTAATTAAGTTAAGTTTACTGGCTGCAGTAAAAGAAAAAAAAAATGATAACTAGAACCACTAAAAACAGGATTGGTGATTTGAAATCATTAAAGCAATATTTCTCTGATCTCTGTCAGAGAGCTCATAATAGATTACCATTTTCCTTTAACAGTAAATAATGATATGGTTACATTTTGAGGAATGGAAGCACGTCAACTTATGAGACTGCAGGTTCCATGGCAAAATTTATAGATGAGGGCATGGAAATCCCCCAAACTGAACTTATTCACCAACCATCTACGTACCTAGACTCCACCTGCTGAAATTCCTTGGCTAATGTCCTTTGCAGATATTCAAAATCTGAAAATCCCCCAAACTGAACTAATTCTTTAACTCTCTGCATTGTCTCCCTGAAAACAAGGCAACTTCATATTGTTTAGAGATTTAATATGAGAATCCATATACTTGCACAATTGCCGCACATGCAAGCACACATGTCCATTCTTCATATGCACATGCATGTATACAGATAGGCACGAAATATCTGGTGTTTTTAATTTGGATAAGGATATTAGATATCAAACCATCTGCAGCTATACAAAATAGATGGCTACAGATAAGCGATAACTATGATATGTATAAAAGATACTAAATGATAGTTATACCAATTGAGAAAATGGTTGTACTATAGACTAGATTGTCCGTCAGTGTAATTTAAAAACAACTTACAAACCAACTTCAATATGGTCATCGGCTTCTGATGCTTCCAGCAACTGCTTCACAGGATCTTGATCGTATAAAAACTTCAAGAATATAACAACAAGTTCACTGCCAAAGTGTTATGTTGTGAGTTAAAGAATATATGCTGGTAGGCAGATGAAACAAAGAAGAATATGTGGCACAGACCTATTGTACGGTAGAAGATGATGATCACTAGGTTCTGACATAAGTAACTTTATACATTTCAACAGCCAGTTGAAGAAATTTGAAAACTGAAAGAAAATACGTCAGAATTTCAGAAATTAAGAAACTTTTCATTTTGTACAGAACATAATCATCAAACTGCCTGAATTATTATACGTCCGCAGTTATTTCTAATATTAGTCTTCTTAAAAGTTCAGGTGGCTTTTTGGAGTTAAATAACAATGGTTTCTCTAAATTAACAGAAAATCATCTTAGTTAAGATATCCGAGCAACTATCATTTCTGACTACAGCCTATGTAGTAATTATAGTTGGCAACAGTGAAGGAAAAGAAAAGTAGGAAATCTGCTAGATCATGCATATAGTTATACAAGCAATATTTATTCTCCATCTGAGAACATTCTAAAATAAACGAGTTTTGAAGATGCAAACAAACCTGCTGCACCACAGTTGAAAGCACCCTAATAAATCGTTCTACTTGTATAAGTATCATTCCAGCTTTTTCTGTCGCATTATTGATGAGTGCCTCATCCAAACCAATACCCTGATATCTTGCTCGCCATCTTGAAAGGCCTCTTAGTTCGCCCATCCTGAATGCAATAATTTCTGCAGCAGGCTGGAAAAAGGCAGTTATGTTTAGTTTGCACCCAAACCCTTTGATAGAAGGAACATTAGAAAACAGGATCATATATATTAGGCAGCAGATTTACTACTTCTGTAAACATAAACATGGATCAAGTTGTGAACTTTAAAAAAAGGTAAATAATATTTCCTACTTCCGTCAGTTTCATATCCATGTATGAGAAGCATTGTATTTTAATATAGATCCTGATCAGGGAACTATTAAGTGATGTACCTTTTTGTATAAGATGATACCAACAGAAAGTAGAACAAAAATCAATTGCTCCTAACAGGAAACTATTGCATCAACAGCAAGAGCTAACAATAACACACCTGGAGATGATTTAGGACAATAAGCTGAAGTTCTTTCCCGGCACCACAAACAGCCTTTGAGACGCGCTTCACACCCTGTTAGTAAATACACTTGTTGAATCCACTATGCTCTCATGTACACTTTTTTTAGCATATCACTAAATGCTAATGTCAAAAGAGGTTTCTATATAGGACTAAGCATACCACTTCACCAAGAGAGTTAACTAGAAATTGATGAACTGCTGGACTAGTCCTTGCACCACCTAAAAGACTCAAAAACTCTTCTTGGGGACAAGAGTCCAGTCCTATATACAAATGGTAGGAAATGTATGAATGGAAAACTAAAATAAGCAAGAATTGCATCAGGAAAGAGGGATACAGAGTCATTGAGAAGTTACCATTGTCAATAATCAGATTAGAAAGAGAATCAAACTTTTCATGAAAAGTGTGCATAGCGTCAGACCATTGCTTATGCATAACTGAAAGGGATGCCCGAATAACCTCAACCAATTCCTCAATGTTAGAAGCTTGTTGAGCCACTTGGTGAAGCTCATTTTTCCTACAATGAGAAAGACAGTCATAAAACATTATAAATGCAGAAGGGAAATCAACAGTTGAGTAGAAAACATAAACAGGGTGCAAAACTAAGCATGACTATGTCAACTACATCTAAACTGATGTCGGAGCCCAGAACTTTACATCTAGAGCAGATATTGGTAAGCATTGAAACAGTGAACAAAAAGATAAAAAGAAAGAGATGATAGAGATGACAGAGACTAGCAATATGTGGTATCCTGGTTTTTATAAGAAAGCTACCTCTTCCAAAATATAGATGTATCAAGCACTGTGCAGTGTAAGCCACGCACACCATGTTGAGTCATTGACCTGTTTTCTGATTCTTTCCTATCTTCACTCAATTCTCCTGAACATATGACTATCAAATGACAAAGATCTTTTGACAATGCAACCTAATGACAACATGCAACAATATCAGCTTGATCTGGTAAAGTATTTTTCTGTTGGTCTGCGAAAAGCTTCAAAAATGAAGCATATGACGTCAAAGTGAAATAAAATAAAATAAAAGGTAAAACTGGAAATTATGATAGCATTAGGAAATGGAAAAATCCTATCAGAAAGAAATCTTCCAAGACCATGACAGTAACTTTGCCATCAACTTTTCCCCATACTGAAATAAGGATGAATGTACCTTGTGAACAGAAGCATTCTGAAGTCTGCACTCAGCTTTTGTATCCATAAGCGGAGTAGGAACACAGAAGTTGTGTATGTTCTGGCACATTGCAAGTGCGTTAAAAATTAAAGATAACAGAGGCAGTTAAGTGATATATCACACATAAACTGAAATAAGTAGTTTAACATAATAAAGCATTATCAACTCCATCACTTTTTAAGGATGCTTCAGATGTTACAACTTACAATTTTCCCTATTGGGAAAATCCCAAATATGCTGAAGCAAATGAATCCATCTTTGTCCCCACTACAGAGGATATTAAATTGTTGCTGTGAAGAATTTGACAGCTCTCGAAATGAATCTTCACTATCATCTATAAAACCAGTATCACCAGATACCAGTCCAGGCATCCGTGGAACTCTTGGAGGAGGTGGGAAGAAATGAGGAGTACGGTCTTCATATGTCGATATGCTGCCCTGCTCATCCTGAAATTAGTTTTCAAGAAATGGATTGAAATGAGACCATACATTGCCACTAAAAAAAAACTCATCTCCCTCCCCCCACCATCCACGCAAAAGTTTTGTAAGAAGAGATATATTTCTGACTGAAATTTAACACACACAAAAAAGTTCAAGTAAATAAAAACAAAGTGATTTTCACCCACTAAACTAAAATTGGTGCATGGCCTACAATTAGATCGATAACGACATACTTTAGTCATCTGTCCATCCTCCTCCCAGTTAAGAGAAACAACAGCAACACCATGGGATTTTAAGCTTCTCAGCAACTTTCCATTCTGCCTTGCATTTAAAAATCATAAATGAAGAGGCAAAAAAAAAGAAAAAAAGCATAGGTTATAACTTCATATCGTAAAAACTGTTTATGCTACTTACTTCAACATCGTGCAATGAAACTGTTCCATCTTCAAGCCCAACAGCAATTGCTTTACCATCAGGACGCCAACATAATGATGTTATGCTCTTTCCTAGTCAAAATTCAGAAATAGAAAAGAAAAGAAAAAGTACCACTAAGCTCACACTCAAAGCACTCAATACGAGAACAACATAAAATCAGAGAGAGATATATATATATACCGGGAGAGACCGTCCACAACCTCTGCCAATTAAAACGGTGCAGCAAAATCTTGGAGTCTTCAGTGACCATAGCCAGCAAATCCTTCTCGGGGTTCCATTCTGCAATTTTAATCTGCCATTCAAAATTCAAAGTTACAAAGACCGAATTTGGCACGCTGCCACATATACATTGGGGATTTTATTGAGAAACTGTAAAAGAAACCTGAGAGGCAACTGGCTTATCGAACTGAAGCTGAAAGGGAAGCACTCGTTGAGCCTCATCAGTTTCCATGGCAAAATCTGCACACAGAAAAAGTCTGTGAACCGCAGTTTGCTTGCTAAGAGACGCTACAAAATTACAGAACCTTAAATCTTGATAGCACCAGAATGAATGGGAGCAGAAACGGTGCCGTTTAGAGAAGAAGAAGATGATATCTGACTGAGCGGTGAACTCTGATCAGTGAAGAGTGAAGAGAGAGGGGGATGTGAGTTGTGAGAGAGAGAGAGATTGAAAATGAGGGCGGGCTTTTTTCTTTTTGGGTTTTAAAGCCCGAGGCCCTGAACCGAAGGCCGTGGAAATCGAAAAATTCAGATCAAATGTCCAAAAGCAAAAAATTAATAAATAAAAAACGCCGTTGCCGGGGATCGAACCCGGGTCACCCGCGTGACAGGCGGGAATACTTACCACTATACTACAACGACTCTGTTGATACTACGGATTGAAAATAGGTATTTGACAGCTAAGAAAGAATTTCTTTCGCCTTGTGTTTTGTTTCTTCCACTGGAGCCCAAAAATGATTCTCTGCTAAATTTGAGGCTGGGCACAAGTCACGACCCAGCTTCAAACTGAAGCTGCGGACCCTATTTTTGGCGGCAAGACCAAATACAGCCTAAAGCCAAGTAGCTAACGCAGTTGATCAGTGAGGCTTAAGCTCAAGCTTAAGCAATGGGAGAAGAAGAGCAGCGTCGCCAACCCCATTCGCCCAAACCAGACACAGAAATTACTGAAAACCCAACGGAGCAAGACTACGCTTGGCCTTCGATTCGGTTCGATGTTCCTCCACAGAGAACCTACCACTTCTGTCACCAGTTCAGAGCTTCTCCAAACCCCAACAACTTTCTCAGGGCGTCAAATGGTATATATTGCACCAACCCTTGCTTTCTCATTCTTTTGTTTTCTTTCCAAATTTTGGTTTTTTGATTTTGTATTTAATTTTTTGGGTTTAGGTCTCCAGATGGGTCGTGCTTTCTTACCAGTTCCGAGGACAATATGCTTCGTGTTTTCGCATTGTAAGTTTTCCATTGATTGCATTGTGTGGATTGCGGAGAGTACAAAAGGGGAATGTAAATTGTATTTGAGTAAAGCAGTGCCATTTGGTTTGGGTAACAATTTTCGGTTTTACTTTCTTGCCTTTATAACTACTCAAAATGCAATTCAAAAAACCAACTTTCTTAAATTGCAAACAATGGTGTCTGCTACTGCTTGCTTTATATTGGACAAAAACAAGTTTTGCTATCTATACTCTTGTTTGCTTCTTAACCAGACCAGATTATGGGAGCGATAATGTTAACGCGTGTTCTGTAGCTGCTGATGAAGGTAAGTTCGCTTTCAGAAGATATTAGTCTAAAATTTTATTATATTATGTACTAATATTAGTCTAAGATATTAGTCTAATATTAGTTTCTTCCAAATATATTCTCATGAAAAGAATAAAATTCTTTGCTTGGTATTATTTGTGAATTAAAGTCTTCATTGTCGAGCTAGGTTTGATTAGTTTGTATTTGCATCTAAGTGAAGTCATCCTTTTTAAGCTTTTATGTTTTTACTCTTAAGCTGCAGATTCCTATGCTGCAAACTGTGTTGTGAATGAGGGAGAGTCTGTATATGACTTCTGTTGGTACCCGTACATGTCTGCTTCAGGTATCTTTGTAAATCTGTCATGGGGAGAACCTGTTAAGTTTATCCTATTATTATTATTATGACAATGAGAATCTCCATTTGATATTTCAAAATATATATTTTATAGTGGCTGATGTAATACTCTAAGCTAAAGCTTGATATGGAATCTTGGTTGGCATTTGCAGACCCAGTTACCAGTGTTTTTGCAACAACATCTCGTGACCATCCAATTCATCTTTGGGATGCTTCTTCTGGGCAGGTGCGGGCTCATTATTGCAAGTCTTCATTATGCAAATAAAATTAGTATCTTTGTAAAGTTTACCACTTGGTATGTCATTGCAACATATACAATTCGGCTATTCCATGTTTAGATCACTCTGTTCCCTTGTATATGAAGTTCTGATATGTATTTGGGGATTCAATATTTGTGTATTTCATTAACACCATTTTCTTTGGCTTAAAATTGCAGCTACGTTGCACGTATCGTGCTTATGATGCCGTGGATGAAATCACAGCTGCCTTTTCAATTGCCTTTAATCCCACTGGAACGAAGTAAGCAAGATCTTCTGCTTTTTTTCCTTTTTCAAAGGTTATACAATTTAATCACATGCTTTGTGCTTTATTTTTTGTATTATTACTTTCATGTTTGAGAGTAGAAATTTTGTGGAATTTAAATGGACATCGAATCCTGGATTTCAATATTGGACACTACACATGTAAGTTCTTAGAATGAACTGTGATATAACTGTAAGACACCATGTGGAAATGGCTCTATAGTTGCCTCTAACTCGTCATATTCACTCCCCTGTTTTTCTCCAAATTTGACAGAAGATTTAAGAGCATCGTATTCTTCAATTGTTTTGTAGGATTTTTGCTGGATACAACAAATCTGTTAGGGTGTTTGATTTACATCGTCCTGGTAGGGATTTTGAACAGTATTCAACTGTTCAAGGAAACAAAGAAGGCCAAACTGGTACGTGTTATCAGTTTAGCTTTATATAGAAGTTCCGATGATAAATTAAAAGAAGTTATGCAAGTGCACAATCCTCAGCATTTTTATTGTGGACAGGTATAATGTCTGCAATGGCTTTTTGTCCAACCCATAGTGGAATGCTAGCTATAGGTTCTTACAGCAAGACTGCTGCAATATATAGAGAAGATAATATGGAACTCTTATATGTATTGCATGGTCATGAAGGTGGGATTACACATGTAAGTCAGCATTCCTTATTGTTCATTTCACTTTTATCACAACTTCAACAGATGAGCAAAATCATTTTCCTTTCAGGTCCAGTTTTCAAAGGATGGAAATTATTTATATACTGGAGGCCGGAAGGTAAATAGCTTCATGTGTTCGATGTTTTTTGGTTGGTTTATGATGCGAGTAAATTTTTATCATTTTTTGGCATTGGCTTGATTATTTGAAATGCAGTAAGCAAGTTCTCTATAACAGCTGTCAGTTTATGATGCGAGTAAATTTTTTAAAGTGTTTATATATTAGCATATGTGCTCTTGCTTTCTATTTTAAATGGCTTACATAAATTTTACTTGAAGGATCCTTATATACTATGCTGGGATATGCGCAAAGCTGTTGATGTTGTGTACAAGTAAGAGTCTTTTTATTATTTTCTCTAATTTAGAAAATTATCAAGTATTCTGTACATTGAAAATCTTTTTTGCTCACATTATTTTATTTGCACCTTGGAATTAGGCTATACAGGTCGTCGGAAGATACCAACCAGCGAATTCTGTTTGATATTGACCCACTCAGCCGACATCTTTGTACAGGTGGCCAGGTAGCGCCTTAGCTTTAAATTATGCTTCAATGTCCAGATGTTATGCCACAACCAAGTCAAAACCCTATTTTATATTGATTTGTTACTTATCTGCTTATTTGTGCATTTCGGTTTCAGGACGGTATCGTTCATATCTATGATCTTCAAACTGGACAATGGGTATCAGGCTTCCAAGCTGCATTGGGTAATTCATTTTGTATCCTCTAAAGATGTGAGAATGCTACTTCAATATGACTTTTAGTCTCTTCTATTACCTAACAAGTTCTTCTGTTCTCTACACCACGCAGATACTGTTAACGGATTCTCTTTTCATCCCTTTCTGCCCATGGCTACATCTTCTTCTGGGCAGCGAAGATTTGTTGGTCCTGATGATGGCAATGAGGAATTGCATTTAAGTGGTAGCTCCTATGACCCTAATGCTGAAACCAAATTTCTTTGTTTGGAGATATTTTCAATTAATTACGTTGTATATCCTTCTAACTGTAGTCTCCTATGCTAATCGTGTTTTTTTGTGTGTGTCATTTTCACAACCTCTTTTTTTCTTTCCCAATCTCAATCATGATTATGGGTGCATGATCTGGTCATTCCTTAGGAGTTAGTTTGTATTATTCGGATCGAAAAGGTAGTAAGAGGCTGATAGGACTGTTCTTTGAGCTTAATTCAGTTTCTTACATGCCTGCTTTGCAAAGACTTTTAGATGAATTTGTGGGTGGAGTGTTGTAATTTTTGAAATACTACTCGCGTGCCCTGTACTATTATACTTGTTGTGGTGTTGATAACCACGAATGAAGAATCAGAAAGTGTGTTAGGTTATCCCTCTATCTTACTTCCCAGGCTCTTTAAATAACAAGATACATGATAAGGTTCATAAGAAACATGAAACATGAAACCTGTCTGAGTTTTAATCTTAGCTGCCCAACTTTTTAACTTGCATAACATAGCAAAAGGTCATTATACTAATAGGAGGTTAATTGTCCTGGGTTATGCAGGTGAAGAAAACTGTGCTTCTGTGTGGAGTTTCTCTGTTGCTTCGGTGGTGGAGAATGATGTTAACATTGACGGTGATGATCATAACAGCCATAACCTGCACCAAGATCCCTAGTCATATTACAATAGCTTCTGTCCAACGAAGTGTGCACTCGATAATCCCTATGAGCTTCGGTTACATTTACAGCTTGGCCTGTGCATCATTCGCCTAATTGTTGTACATTAATTGTATTACAAGGTTGCAAACAAGATCAGTCAAATAGGAAATGTCTTCATGCACCTATATGTAAAACACAATTGTTTGAGCTCAATTTTGATGGGTGTATCGTACATTTCGACTTCGAAGCTTCTGCTGACTGAACTAATTTTTATGCTAATCGTGTTTTTGTTTTGCCCTTTTCTGAGTGGTCCAAAAATTCAAAAACTACATAAAAGTAAATCTGACCAATCATTTTTTAAGAACTCATTTTAAAAGAAAATTAATAGTTGATATACTTAGTGATAATAACATTTTTATGGTAAATTTTCCTTTAAATAGTTACTAATGACTTTTAATCTAATTATTTATCGACTTACAAACTTAACATCTAACTTGCAGTGACTAACAAGATAAAACTATTTATATCAAAATTTCCGATCACGTCTCTCATAAAGTCCATCTATATTAATAAGTGTCACATATGACTAAACTGATACACATTTATCATTATTATATTACTAAACTTTTTTACAAGACGATACAACGACAAGTCGTATTTGTTGCACATTGACCTTCAAACGAGCCCATGATAATGAAATTAATTTGCAATTTAAAGGCCATGACTTCAAGTTGGAAAGCTTAACAATATTTTCATAGGAGATTAAATATTTAGTTAGGGATTACATTCTTAAAAAGAACCAAAATGAGTAAATTCAAAATCATTTTAAAGGTTATTTCCTACCGGGTCCTAAGAGGATGTGCTCTTCATAATTAGAAATCTAAACGAATAAATGTTTACATTCGTCTTCAATGACAAAAATAGCATTTTGGCATAAATAAAAATGTCCTGGGTTGATTCCAAAACGAGTAAGACCGCACTAGCTTGCCATCCATGCTTAAGCACCTAGATTAGTTTTGAGAAAAAACCATTAAAGCTCTCTATAAAATCCACCTACTCAAAACAAAGGCCAAACAAGACTTTTCATCACTAACAGTGGGACCCACCAACAACAGCCAAAAAACCTAATACGTTAAGGTATGGTCATAAGCTGGAGGTCCCGCCACTTCAGCAATTTCGCCTGACCTTTTTTTAGCCGTTCTTTGGTTCATTTCATGTCATTGCTCCTGAGAAAGCCAGAAAAGGCAGAACCAGCGGAAGCTGATTTTTCCTCTTTCATTTACTTACATACTAAAAAACAATGGAGACACGCTCTCAAGCCTTAGAGCCACCCAAACCCTCTTCCCCTATAATAACTCAGCCTCCACCAGAGATTTCCACACACTGGCTTTCTCTTCCTCCTTCCTCAAAGAAAAATTAATTCCAGTTTTTCTTTCCTTTTCACTGTTCTAGTTGCTAGCTTCTCGCTCACCAAACAATAATGTTCCCAGTAAACAAGACCAGAAGAGACACAAGGAAAGTCGTCTACGGGCCGCCGCTGAAACAACTAAGGACGTTCCTCCGTCCTGTCGTTGGATCCAGCTCCAGCCACGGCTCGTCCCGCAGCCGTTCTGTCCAGCTGACAGACGACCTTATTGAGTACATCTTCACCCTCCTCCCCATAAAAGCCGCTGTCAAAGCCGGCCTCGTGGCCAGAAGATTCAGAGACTCCTGGCGTCTCACGCGCAGGATCCATTTCGAGAAAGAGCTTGCCGAAAGGTACGACAACGACAAGTTGGAGACAATACTGAACCATGTTTTCGAATCCCATAGGGGTGACGAGATCAAAAGCTTCCGGCTCCACTTCGATCCCAATGCCCACGAGCTTCACTTGCCGGAATGGGTAAGAAAATGCATCCAGAAACGGGTCCAGGAGCTGGATCTCGACATCTCCCAACCCAAACAGGAGCCTTCTTTCCTTCTCCCTCCGCACTTCCTCGACGTGGAGAGCCTGAAAGTCTTGAAGCTCTCGTACTCGGTCTTTCAGCTCCCACCAGACATCAAAGGCCTGTCCTTGCTCACAACTCTCGTTCTCCGGAGAGTTGACATAACCCCGAAGATCATCCAAACTATACTTGACCGGTGCGCCCTACTCGAAACCCTTGACATGGGACAGTGTCACGGGTTTCGGCTTCTGAGAATCCACGCTCAGAAGCAAACGAGGTTGAGGGTTTTGAAGGTGGGAAATTGTCGGGCGGAGGTTCGGGTTATTGAGATTGATGCCCCGAGTGTTGGATCTCTTTATTATAGTGGAAGTATTAGTAATTTCCGCGTAATTTCTCAATCTTTGCTGTTTTTGAAAGAGGCCATGCTCTATTTCAAGCCTCTGAAAGGGATCACAAACCCTTTGCAAGTTGAAAGACTTGCTTCTACTATCTCGAATAATGTCGAGCTTCTCACCATTACAAGTACATTTCTTGAGGTTAGTCTCCTTGATTTATTAATTGATTACTTTAATTCAGTGTTAATGTGTTCTTATAATCTGTTTTTATGTGAGTTAGGGTTTGTCTCCGAGAATTGTTGACGGGGTTTTGAGAGAAAAGCAGGTGAGCTTTCGCAATTTGAAGGAGCTCCAGTTGATAATGGAGAATCCTAGCTATTGCAATGCTGGCGACATTGCTTCATTTCTCAAAAATTGTCCACGCCTCGAGAAATTATTTATCGATGTGAGTATAAATTATGAACAGATTATCTATATATATCTGATCTTTATGAACAAATTATTTGTAATGATGATGTTACTGCAGGCGGATGAGTTTACTTTTGATGGCGGAGCTTTCTATGAACTGCATCAAAAGCCATTACTGGACAAACACTCGGCCTTGTTCAAACACCTAAAGCTAATCAAAATTATGGGTTTTAGGTTCCAACCTTGTCACCTCGATTTGACAAGGTTTCTTTTGGGGAAAGCCATATCATTGGAATACATGTTTCTTCTTCTCCCCAAGAGTTTCCGTTTCAGTAGGGCTCTGAGTCAGGATATGGACTTTTTCACCGATGCTTTTCTCTCTTGGAAATTATCTCCCGACGCAGAAATATCTATAGGTTTTGCTTGGGAGGACAAAAGCTTTGTTTATCCGAAACAGTCGAGGAGTTGGTACTGATTTCTTTAAGATGGTTTTATGTATCAATTTCATTGCAAATTATTAACTTAAGCTTGTCTTTGGAATTCAGTTGAAATCCTCATTTAAATTTAATGTTTCTCATTTCCTCCATATTGTTAAATTCTTAATTCTCTCTAACTTCATACATCAAGAACTTCCCATTCGACATGAACACATCCTGAAATCGATTTTGATCTTCTTTTTTTCGCGCCAAGAAATCAATTACGATAATTAGTCACTCCATTTTTCAGTCTATATATTCATGTACCACATACAGTACAAAAACAAATATAATGGTTTCCATATACTTTGATTAGATGCATAAGAATCTATGATATATATCCAAAGTCATTCCAATATATATACAGCAATTTGACCCTATTTCTTGTGTCAAAATGTTTTATGCTGTTTATATGTGATCATGTACTCTACACGTTTATATATTACTTATAAAAAAGATGAACCATTATTATATAAAATATACTCTGGCTTGGTGTTATTGAGCATATCTTATGGGTCATATTTGTAGTTTGCTCTAACTCATATAGTTTATTGACTAATTCTTGTAAACAAAAAAAATTATTTATATGTATGGATTGAAAAGTCACTCCATGATGCATGTGTTTTGCACGTAAAATATATAGAGTGAGATCGTATATCATGCACATACGTGATATGGTACATAATAAATTATTGGCCCTAGATTCTCGGCGCTAGTTCATATGAAGATTTTGTAACCGAAAATACTTCTTAGTTCAATTATGAGATACATGGTAAAACAATTAATTCAAAGAATGCCTATGTGCGCGTTAGTTACTACTTCGAAACTTTATAGCTTAACTACTTATTATGGAACTAATGCGATCTAGTTATTAATCTTTTTAGAGCAAGATCAAATTGGGCATATCACACGTCATGTAATGATAGATTCCATATGCTAAAAGATAGGACCTCATTTAAGGACCTTAGATCTATAGAATGACTCTACAACACAAGCATCTTACAAAGAAGACCAAAGGCCCAAAACAAACTAATAGCAAAACAGCCCTAAAGATGGGCCATAACAGCAAGGTCCTCGGCCATCACCTTTGCCAACTTGGGCTAAGGGAAGTTCAAGTACCCAAAAGACGACCCAAAATTCCCCCCAAAAAAGTTCAAAATAAATAATTAGGCCTCCTCAAATCTTGCTAGTTGCTTCTAACTCAACTACTCTTCATTGCACTATGATTGCAATGCTGTAGTTATTTTAGATAATCACATGATGTTTTAATCCATGGCCCAATGAATCTAAATTTCCCCAATTAAGAAAACAAATTGATAATTTAAGGGGATAATCACATTTTTTATAATAAAAAAATTGCGCACGTTTTCTTACAGATAATTATAAGTTTGATTTTTGAAATTCCAATTTTACCAAAGAGAATTTAGCTAAAAAGAAGAAATTAATTTAAAAACAATGTTTCACTCACCGTCACAGACATGCTTTCTCGAGAGCCCACCCATATAAACGCGTTACATGGTTTTGACGTGTAGTTTATATTGGCTGCTGCTAATGCAACAGCCGTCAGCCACCAATCTAGAATCTTCAGTCAAACAAGGCCCACTAGCCGTCGTAAAGTGAAACTACATCAAATGATCACCGTCCAATTCCATCACATCTACACGTGTCGGCATAATAAGGAGTCAATGAAACTCGACTGTGAGCTGACCGACCCTTTATTAGAACCCGAAGCAGACGTCGTAGGACTCTTTAACACGTACGCATCGTGTTGAGTAAGCTACCGAGACAGCCGACTCGGACCGACCATACCGCCACGTCGTCCCCCCAGCAGCACACGTGCAGCTTCCTACGTGCTATCTCCTCCCGCCACGTGTCCCACTCAAACGGCTAGTTTGCCTCCCTCCTTTTTTTATTTCGTTTTTTTAACCGCCGAGGGGATAAATTAAAGGGAACCCACAGATCTTTCCATAGAAAATTCGAGGAGATTCCGTAAAGCGCGTAGATTTTACCATTTTCACTGTTTTCAAAAAAGAAAGAAACTATCTTTTCGTTCGATATATAAACCCAAGCAAACCCAACTGCTCAGTCGATTCTTTGTTTCCATTTCCACGGTAAAACACAGAGAGAGAGAGAGATACACAAGATTTATAGACCTATATACTCTCAGAGAGGCTCAAATCTAGGGTTAATCCAACACAAGGTTTCCTACTCTCTTTGGTTTTGGATTCTTCTTTAGATTTCAGAAGTTTCATAATCTGTTACCAATAGATTTTCTTTTTGTGGGTTATTAATTGATTCGATCTTTGCTTGTGATTTTGTTTTGGATAGGGATTGAAGATTTGGTGATTGGTGATTGGAGAAGATGGCTTTGGGAAAGAAATGCAAGAGTTGCTTGAAATCGAAGCCCGGGGGTTTGGTGGCAGAGGAGGGGCTGGAGTTAGGGTTTGTCAAGTACACGCGAGCTTTGGGGAGGAAGAGGATTGGGATTTCTAACAATGGCGAGCCTTCGCCTACTGATTCGTATCCCAGCACTCCATTGAAGAAGCAGCGAAGTGGGAAATTGGTTTCGGATTCTGAAACCTCTGCCCTAGAAGCTCTGCCTCAGGAGATTCTGGTTAGTCCCAAATTCTCGAGCTCTGCTTGAAATCGATAAATGCATATGCAGAATTCTGAATCTGTTTTGATTGAATTTGTGATCAATCGGGAATTAAATACGTATGTTCGTTTTTGTCCATTGCAGATTAAGATTGTGTGTGGCGTTCATCATGAGGATTTGAAACAGCTTTTCCACGTATCAAAACCAATTAGAGAAGCGGTGAGTTTAGTTTAATTTACTTAAGTAATTAATTGATTTTTTGTTTGTTTAAGCGATTGGCATTGATTTTAATTTGCCCTTTCTGTGATTGCAGACTCTGATTGCTAAGCAGTGGCATTTTGCCTATAGCACACCTTCAAAGACCCCTGCTTTCCGGACCGCCATTGATTTCTCAAGCGACGATATGGATGAGATTGAAGCTCCGAATGCTCCGAAACAGTGGAGGGAGCAGCATAGGCAGTTGCCGAGCCGCAAGAAGCTTGCTGAGATATCGGTGAACTTGTTTGCTTCATGGGACGAGGAGTAGATGAATCTGCAATGTGGGTTTTGTAAATACACAAATTCATGGCTGTGATGGTCGTAGTTTTCGGCTGGTTAGCGTAAAAATCTGAAGAGATAGAGATGATATTGGAGTGAACATATAGAGAAAAGGGTTGCAAGCGGTTTCTTCAAAGCTATCATTGAAGATGATATAATTGCTTGTTCGTCTCTTTTTGTACATGTTTTGAAGAGAAGGAGAAAGAGAGAGATTTCCACTATTCACAAGTTTGTTAAGGGCTAATCTTGTGCCCTTTGGTTCTGACAATAAAATGAAGAACGTACAAAAGCATTAGATTTTAATGAAATGAATGATCTTTCCATGCAATTTGTTCCGTGTGTTTGCTCTGTTTTTACTTTTTGTTCTATGATTTTCCTTAGATTTGATGAATCATCACTTTAGGGTTATGAAGATGCACAAATTTTTAGGGTTTTTCTGCACAATTGGGAGATTTTGTGCATTGGATAGAATGAGCAAAATTTAATGACAGTATGAGCAAAATTTGGGAATGGGGGACAGAATCAATTAAAGATCTTTATTTAGAGCAATTGGTGGGTTTATGTTTCTTCACTTGCTAACTTAGTTCAAGAGTAGATTGCCTAAATTTTAGCTGTTCAAATTAAACTCCTCCTGCAAATTGTCTTTCCTTATATTTAGAAAGCAGGGCTGGTTTGAATGCCTAAACTTTAGCTGCTCAAGTGGTTACATTTGGAATTCCAATCTAATTCCATAACGCTTTGCGTTAAATATCTAGTATTAAATACAGTTTACATTTTCCCTTAGCATGGCAAAAATATAGCAGTATTGATTGTCTGCTTGTCTCCAACTGTTGTCCTCTTTTCTGCATTTTCAAAAGGAAATAGTTTTTTGGCTAATTGAATGAAATTTTTCGTTTAACAAACGGGATTTTTTAGATATGAGAATTGGGTAAAACGACGAGTATGAACAATTAAGTACTCGTTTATTTTCGATTAAAAAGATAAAAAGAGAGTCCATTTCTTTACCTTTTTATTTTGTTATTATTTTTCTATCATAACTGTTGTTTATGAAATTTGAAATAAAAACCCTTGCCCCAAAAAGATAAGGAGCAAAATAGATAAGAGGAAGGAAGGAGGGAAGTTTAATATTTAAAATTTGATTTATTTTGGGTCAAATAAAATTTGATTCTTATGAATGCAAGGCCCAAATACAATATGCAGTCCGGAACACAAACACAGTCCAAATATGAACCCAACCCAAATTCAAAAGTCGGTTGAAAATCTAGGCCCCTGAATTTCCACCACCTTATATAATTCCATATAAATACCAACGTCTTTAGCCAATAATCTCATGATCATAAGTTCATAGACACTTGACCATTACATTTCGCGCGTTTTATCTCTCTTTGCATCTGCTTATAGACTATAGTTTTCTCTTTCTAATGGCGTCAACGAAACGCGTAGCTCCCAGTGAAGACGAACATCAGGAGGCCTCGAAGAAGACCAAGGTCGACGATGACGTGCCGTCTTTCTCGTCTTGTTCAGAGTCGAGCCGGAAGCAACGCGTGGCTCTCAATCGTGCCGATTGTGCCCTAGGTACTTGAATTTCCTGGTTCTTATTTCGAATTTAGTGAATGTAGCGTGAAACCCTAAACCCTGAAACCAATGTTTTCTGTGATTGATGATGTGAATGTTTTCTTGCGTTAAGATTTTATAATCGAAGGCGATGAGCTTAAAGGATATGCACTTCACGAGCAGGGCTTTGCTTACTGCTGGTCTGGCGCTCGAGCGAATGTGGGTATAGCTGGAGGGAAGTACTGTTTTGGTTGCACGGTCGTATCTTTGCAGTCTGTTGATATGGAGGACACTGCTCCTGATCGACAGAATCTGTGCCGCCTTGGAATTTCTCGAGGGGACGAAGCAGTTGGAAACCTTGGGGAAACAGCGTACAGCTTTGGGTATGGGGGCACAGGAACATTCTCACATGGTGGCAAGTTTTCGGATTATGGTGAGAAGTTTGGGCTCGGCGATACCATTGTTTGTTCTGTCAATCTTGAAGATAAATCTATGGCTTCCATTGGTTTCTCCAAGAATGGAAAATGGTTGGGTAGAGCAACGTACTTTGATGTTTCTGCTTTGGGTCTTTCAGTGGCGGATTCTCCGGAGAGGAAGATGCCATGGCAATCAGCGGTTTTCCCACATGTTTTGTTGAAAAATGTGGTGGTGGAGTTGCAGTTCAGTGTTGAAGATGGCCTTGTTGCTGAAGAGGGTTTCAAGCCTTGGGCGTCTGCACTGGAGGATGGAAATGCAGTTATTGGACCCGTTTTTTCTGACCCGAGGGACTGTGAGGTGGTTATGATGGTAGGTTTGCCTGGGTCTGGCAAAACAACTTGGGCCGAAAATTGGGTGAAAGAGCACCCTGAGAAGCGTTATGTTCTGCTTGGAACAAATTTAGTTCTCGATCAAATGAAGGTGGGGTATGATTGTTTTATGTTCTTTGTTTTGTTCCATTATCACCATTCTAATGTACCTGCTATAGCTTCTAGTGGTGTTTGTTTTATCGATCAGTATTTCATTGCAGAATGTGAAACTGTGTGCAGGTGCCAGGGCTTTTGCGTAGGAACAATTATGGGGAACGGTTTGATTGTCTGATGAATCGAGCAACTGAAATTTTTAACATCATTTTATCCGGAGCAGCCACCACACCTCGTAATTACATTATTGATCAGACAAATGTGTACAATAGTGCTCGTAACCGTAAACTTAAACCATTTGCTCTCTTCCGAAAGGTTGCTACCCGTCCATGATGAATTTATATGGCAAGATTTGTATTCAGCTTGCTTAATCTATATGGATAATTTTCTATTTCAGATTGCTGTTGTGGTGTTTCCAAGCCCCGAAGAGCTAAATATTCGTTCTAAGAAAAGAGCGAAAGAAATGGGAAAGGAAGTACCTGCTGATGCAGTAAATAATATGTTAGGTAATGGTGTGCCTTCACCAATTTTGTTAGTCTAATATTTATGTCTGTGTTTTTACTGAGACCCGTATAATGTTTTTGGCAGCCAATTTTATTTTACCTGTCAGCAAGGATATGCCTGGTTCAGATGAGTTTTTTGATCAGGTAAACTATTCACACACAGGACACTGTTATTGCACTTTTTATGTTTGTGGCTAATTATTGTTTTCTTCTGTAAGGTTATGTTTGTAGAACTCAACAGAGAAGAGTCACAGAGATATTTGGATGAGATGAAGCAGTCACTTGCATGTAAATCTGATTGGAAGAACTCGAATAACTCTTCACCATATTCTGTTGGCCCTGGTTTTTTAATTTCACCAAATTATGGGGAAAGTCCTGTGCAGCTCTCTTCACCGTATTCTGTTGGAAGCTATGTTCCTAACTTTTCACCAAATTATGGGGAAAGTCCTATGCAGCGATTTACTATGCCTCCTCTGCTGCCGCGTCGGCCTGTACCTGGGGCTGTTACTCCTTATGGATCTTATTCTGGCTACTTTGGCAGTTGCGGTGGTGTTACAGATCCATACCAGAGTTATGGGCCAGGTGAACCCCACAGCAGGCAAAATATCGAACGCAATAGTACCACTTTTGATGCTGCCACTAACCCCTACAGTAGTAGTACGATTGTACCCTCGCTGGTAGGAAGTGCAATGACTTCATTCACAGGCAATAATCCTGGATATCCGAGAGCTGCAGCTCCTCAGGATCCAAGAGCACCCACATTTCTTCCCAGTCCTTCACCACCTGCATATGGAGGTAGCTTCATTATAAATTATCGTTACATGTATCTTTAGAAGATTTATATTATGCTTATTGTTTAATTGGCTACGGTTCAGGCTTACCTTTTGGAACTCCAGCTCCTAGACCTCCATATGGAAATTCTCCTGTTAACACTGCATATCCTGGAGGCTATCCCCTACCTGGTCCGAGGTACTACTGATCTCTGTACAGATTTGACGGTCCTTCTTTTGACGCCATAGGCTACCCCCCAAGTTGGATTATTCATGAAAGGGGAAGCACTGGAAGACAGATCAGGTTTCATGAACTGCTGCCTCTTGTAAGCGTGATCTTCCATCGTTGCGTAGGATGATAGGACCAGCTCTCCTTTCTTTGATCCTTTTTTTGTTTTCGGATATATGAATGAAATCCTATTAAGATTTGAAGGGAGAGGGAGGGAGTGCGGGACTTGAACTAGTTGTATCTATTCTACTCTGGTTTGTATATGACAGCATTTTGGTTCGTCACCTAGTGCCATTATTTTCTGACTGAATGATCAATGACACTTTTGTTCATTAACAGTTAATCATACAATCATGTTATAACATTGTAGTTACGTTGCATGCTTGCGGTGGGAAATTAGCTAATTGAAGGACTGTGCTTGTTTTGACACTTGTTTTCCTGATAATTTATCCCAGCATGTAAATCTGTGCTCGGATAACGATTTGAGCTTTCCAGTTTTCACATGGTGATGAGTGATGACTTTAGGGTTAAGTAATACAGCTCATGCATTAGACAACAGTTTAGGGACCGGCCATCGCTGACGAGGTCGCTTGGTGTGTTGACATTGAAGGGTCCCAAACCATGTGATGAGGCCTTCCGAAAGTTTTTGTGATCCATTTGGCTTTTGAACAATGATTTTTTGGGGGGTGGGGGGTGGGGGGTGGTGGTGGTTAGATTCGTTGTCTGCCACAACTAACAACGCACATCAATTTTGCCTTTATAGCATGGTTTCCTGTCTAGAAGCAGCTCCACTGTCGTTTCATTTTCCGTTTCATAACATACCAGTAGAAGGATAGAAGCCTTCAAAGCAAGGGGGAACTAGGAATTTTTTGGTGGGTGGGCTAGCTAAAATTCAAAGTGTTGTTTGGAAATGGAATGGAAAATGAATATTGTTTCGTCCTCTTTCTCTCTCTCGGTCTCTGAGTCTGAATGATTATAATCGCTCAATGAATTCCTTCATTTCATTTATTTATATCATGTATCTGCATTAACCCATACATGCCTAAATGCAAACAGAGCAGCACTCTTTGGCTTTGGTTGATATTTCTACTTGTTTCACATCCAGTCCAATCATAACTACTCTGCATTATTTTCGTGAAAGTCAAGCTAAGGATTTAGTGGTAGAGCCCAGAGTCCAGAGAGGCCTATTTATAATTGACTGATTATATATATATATATATATATATAGAGAGAGAGAGAGAGAGAGAGAGAGAGAGAGAGAGAGAGAGAGTTCTATCTATCCTTTTCAGTTCAATAGTTCAAACCAAACACCAATGTCATAAAAAGCGAAAAAGAAACCTCCACTTTTTATTTGTAGTTGCACTCTTCTTTTTTCGGCACTGAAAAGCCATTGTTGGTATACCATAGCCTTTACTAGCATGTGCATGGTGAGCAAAGTGGAATGCCATTCTCATACCATATGACTTTGATGTCACTCACCATCTTAACCACAGAAATACTTCCCTAACTCCATTGCGCTTATCCTTTCTTTATATCTCTCTCCTCCTTTGATAAATGACAAGAGGATAGAGAAACCAACAATTTGAGTTAGTGAGTAGTTAAATTTAGGTTGCTTCTGCTCGCTTCTTGGCAGCTAAGAACGCACCTTAGTTTGAACTCCATGGCCAAGAAACCGACAATACGCATTGTCATATGGCCATAACGCATGCTTGTTGATATGCCCATATCCAATTACTTGGTTTTGAATATTTAGTTGATTACTTGGTTTTAAATTAAAGTAAATGACAAGAACAATTAAAAGTTAACATGGAAAACCAAAGAACCTCCGAATGAGGGCTGGTTGACGTTTCCGATGATTGGACCTTTTTGGGTCCTGCTTGCTTTCTGAGATGGGATTATTAAGTGAATGTGACAGATTAAATTCATGAATGAACATAATTAAAAAAGCAAACATCTTTTAAGGTTGATATTTACTGTAGATTTCATGGGACAAAGGTCACCTTGGTAAATGCATATCACAGACAGACAGAGCACACAACCATGGCAGATGGCACCCACCCACCACTACCCCTCCCCTCCTCTCCCCTCCTCTCCTACTCTCAATAATAATATTCCGTGTCGTCATTTTCTCGTACATTAAATTAATTTAATGTAATTTAAACAGTCACCTGTATAAAAACTTTAAAAGGCTTGTAAACCCCACAACCCAATCCTTCTTCTAATAACCCCACCTCCTCTTTATCCATCGCTCTCCTCCTGCGCCTTCCTTTACCCCCATATCCAAGCTTGGTTCTTTTTCCCTCTTTTTCCTCTCCCACTACTTAATGGGATTTGGACCATTTGGTCCTCTACTCGTCGCTTTCTCTTGAGAAAGTTTGTATCTTTCATGGAAGAAGATGCGAGTCTTATGATTTGCCAATCGAATTCCATTTCCGACTTGGTATTCACTGAAACCATGATCAGCTTTTGTGCTTCTGTTTCCTCAAGTCCTCTGTTTTCAAGCATTGTCACTCTCTACGCTCTGATCCTCCTCTATTTCCCGTACCATTTCATCAGAATTGTTTTCTCACCAGTGCCGATCATAACAGGAATTCTCTTACTCACAATTCTACGACTTGGTGCTGTTCAAAGATTTGAAGGCGATGAACACAGAGAAAAGGAAGACAATTCTTGCCTGCTCGAAACAGAGTGTACCAAAACCAACGAGAGCAAAGAATGCAATGAGGAAAACAAAGAAAACAGGGGAAGCACGAGCACCTCCACTCAAAGAACCGAAGTCCAAGAACAAATCCCAACTTCACCAGAAGCTCAATATCACAGCTTTTTCACCTACCAATCCGAAACGGACTCCGAAAGCGAAATGGGTTTTGATCCGAACCCCTGTTTTGAAGACTTTTTCGTCGAGTGGAACCTGAAGGCGCCATTAGAGGTCATATATGAAGAGAATGAAGGTGAAGAAGATGAGATGGATCGCAATGGAAATGACCCGAATTCGAAACAAGAGCAAGAAAGCCAAGTTCAGGGTCTTGAAAGGTACCCTTCGTTGTCTATGTATTACCCGGAGTCGGACTCGGATAGCTCATCGGACGGCGGGTATTCGGTGACCGGAGTTTGTAACTCACCGGAGAGCATGTGCTTCAGGTGGGAAGAGGAAGACAGAGAAGGGTTGATAGAGATTGCTTTGGAGGAAAATTCAAAGAGAGGCATGGATTTTCAAGTTGATCACGAGGAAGATAATTTGATAGAGATTGATATATCTCCGACGAGAAACAATGAATATTGCGGCAAGAAATGGCTGTCTCCCGGCGAGGTTAGGTTCAGCTAATGTTAGGGTTAATAATGGAATTAGCGTATTAATACAAGATGGATTGTGTTTCTTGGAGATTGTGAAAATTTGAGTGTTTTGGGGTGTTGAGTCGAGATGTTTGCTTAATGGTTTACCGTTGTATTATACCAAGGTTCAAGTACATATTAATCACTAATCCAGAGGTTTAAATGTTTGATTGGTTACTATCGCTTATTTTTTTTTGAAATGTTTGATTTGGAATGCCTAATATACCCCTGTACATTTTATTTTCGATTAGACCAATGACTAGTTGTCACCTTGATAAGGTTTGAGAGACACGTGGAGGCTAATGTGGTGGTGGTGGAATTTTCAACGTTTGGTCCGAAGTGCACCTTTGATAAGGAGGTGGCGGAGGAGGAGGAGGAGGATGAGGAGGAGGCAACAAAGTCGTGTACATGAACATTGGCATTTTGGAATTGTTGGAGATTTGATGCATCATGCATGCACAGAAGGAGGGTTGGGGACAATCTCACATCAAGATAGTGATCCCAATTTTAGATGTTTGTGGCCTCGTCAAAGGCTCAAATCAAGAACCAAAGCCTTACTTATTGGTTCTCATCAATGTGAATTATCATGCATTTTCTGGGGAGAAATGTTGGTGTTATAAATTCTAGGCATTCTTATTATTTCTCACCGAAACTCAGCTTAAACTTTTTGCATCAGCCCGATCCATTTGGGCTCTTTATATAGAAATTGGGCTTTGGACGGCCCTTGGTCCAGTTTCTAGATCAATTTAGTTCAAGAATTCTAGTGTGGGCCTTATATATGACACTTAGGTGAAGTCATATATCTTAAACGTTGGATCAAATTGGTTAGTCTGATTCAACGGTTAAGAGATACCTAAACCCAAACCCAAACCCAATCACCACAACCCTATGAATTTATTTATGTTAATACTAAAAAAAGAATAATGCTACTCTTATAACATTTGTATACCACATTCTCATACTACCTTATGTGGCTTCTGGGGTGTCCAACCATATCATTAAAAAGTGTCAATAAATTATAAAAAAACAGAAAATGTAATATTAGTTTTAATTTATGTGGTTCTACACCTCATCTGCCACATAAAGTGGTATAAGAATATGATATACAAATATGATAAGAGTATTACTCTTTAAAAAAACCTATGAATTTGATTTACATTTCCATAAGTTTCAGTCAGATTTCCAAAGGAAATAGAATGAATGAGGAAGTGATGAAATTTGTTGCTAACTGTCAAATAAAATAAAAAATATCAAATTATATCAAACTTGTTTGGTAACTGGACTTGTACTGGATTATTTCAATTATATTGAACTAATGTTCTAGTCTATGTTTAATGAATTTATAAAAGATGAAAAAGATTAAACTCATTAAATTATATAACAGTCCAATATATTGTATCTTACAAATCTTATACAGAGAAATAAAATTCATACAAATTGATTTGGATTCAATTCCAATCCAATTCAAACGAAATGGAGTTGGGCAGCTTATTTGGTTCAGCATGGAGAATGCGATTCTTCAAGCTTTTGACCTGTAGGCGTATATGCAAAGAATATTATATATCACATGCAAATTTCATCCCACCAACTGTTGGAGTGATTGAACATGATGCGTGGGTTGACCAATGACCAACCAGTAGCAGCAAGCAAAGCAAGCAACAAACTTTGAAACTTCATTGTAATTTGACACACTTCTAACCCCATCATTGCAATTTTGCTCATAACTCTCATCAATCTCTGTCTTTCAATATGACAGCTGCCATGTGTACTCAACAAAAAGAGTGTCCTAAAAAATACGTATACGTCGAAGTATTAGATTTCTAAAGAAATGAATACAAAGCTGGTATTTCTTGTGCCCAGCATTCAAAAAGAAAAAAGCGTTACAGAATCTAACATATTATGAGGTGTAAAAGTCAAATGCAGACATCTTGGAAAGTGAAAAGCATGTTTCAGAAAATTGGTCAAAATGTCTTTTCGTCTAACCTCGAGATTTAGTCTAATAAAGGCCACAAAACCATAAAATAATAAAATAATAAAAGTCGAGGTTTAAATTTAATGTCTGTATCAAAAAAAATAAAAAAATAAAAAAGATTTGGTGTATTCCGGTAATTCTGGGGTGCATATGCTCTCAAATACAGCTAAGGTGTACTTTCGCTTGGCGGAAAGCCATGTGGCATGTGATGATGTCAATGTGTCTTTTTCTTTCCTTGACCTAATTCATATATTTCTTTTTATAAAAATTACAAAATAAGAAAGAGGCGTGAATTGCTGTGTGCATCAATTTGATCACGGAGCCTCTTCAGCGTCCAGCCCATCAGTGGGGCCCACCAGGGCGGACGTGTCAAAACCCGTACAAAGAAAGCGATTCGCTTCGCGTCCGCCTAACACGTGCTAAGGTTTTGCCTTGCGCTCCAAGTCGGCGCTCGAGAGCAAATCTGGAAACCTCCCAAACACACACGCATCACGTTCTCCAACCTCTCCGGATTCTTTTGACACATATATATTTGACGCTTCTTTTTCACACATTCCTACATTATAGGCAAAGCCGCGTCTCTCTCTCTCTCTCTCTCTCTGTTTTTTCCTCTGTAACTTCCCTCTTCTTCTTCCCTCTGCTTCTCTCTGTTTTGTGCCTTTTCGGCTGTAGATCTGAGCGCCGAAAAGCTTGAAAGCAGTGAAAAATGAGAGGTTTCGCTTTCTTCGATAGAGTTTCTAGAGCTTTCCATGACTATCCTTCGGTTCCCAAAGTGCTCGTCGTCGTCGCCGTCAGGTATATTCACTTTCTCTGTCTATCATCTCTTTCATCTTCTACGCGTTTGCTCTGGTTTCCTATGCGTTTGTTCAGTTCTACATATTTTTCTTGTACAAATATTTACTTATAATATTAGTATTTTTTTGGGCGATTTCTAATATTAAGTATTGCAGTAGAATATGGACAGAATTTTAATTTTCTTATATGTTTAAATCGTTCAGTTTGGCGTATACTTTTATTAGAAGCTATAGTATTGCTGTATTACTCCATTTGATTGCGTTTCCTTGCTAAAAAATATGTTCTCTGTTTTACACCATGCTGAAAAATATATGCTCTGTTTTATTCCGTAGTGAAAAAAAATGTGCTCTGCCTTTGTTTTTTTTCGTTCCGATTTTGTTGGCAGTCTCTGGAGTCAATCAGATCTCTTGCACTTATTTCATACATATAGAAAATTGTATAGGAAAGGCGAAATTTTAGGAAATTGGATTGCATTCACCTAAGGCATAGAGTTGCTATGAGCAGAATCGCCATGCGCAGATTCATATCATTTGCCTATATAATCATGGCGAAACTATGTTAGCATACCAATAAATTATGTTTGTGTAGTGTAAATTATGCCCAAAAGTGGTGAAGAAACAAAGACGTGGCCATTTCCTATTAAGAAAAAGAAAATTTGTGCTTTCAATGCTTATTTGTAGATAAACTGTAAGATCAAAAAGTAACCAAAAAAAAATATGCTCGAGCTGCTAACCCTTCAGAGGTCGAGAAACTGTATTTTTGTTATTGGTATGTATGCTCACATGATTATATGATGGTTTTGTCTCATGGCTGTTGCTTCAAAATGCAGTGGTTGCGGCCTTGTGGCTTACGCTGAGGCAAACCCTGAGCGAAAACTGACCAGCAGCGCGCCTGTCCTAACTTCAGCTGAAGTGGACAATAAGAAGAAGAAGGTTGTGGTACTTGGAACTGGCTGGGCTGGAACAAGTTTCTTAAGGAATCTGAAAAATCCAGATTATGAGGTTCATGTCATATCACCTCGGAATTACTTTGCCTTCACCCCTCTGCTACCAAGTGTTACCTGTGGTACAGTGGAAGCTCGCAGCATTGTTGAACCAGTTCGAAACATTGCTAGAAAGGTAATGGTTGGATAATAATTATATCACTCTCTCTAACTGTTGGTGTTCAATAAATTGACAATGATTTTTTTTGGGGTACAGAAAACTGTAGATGTTCAATTCAGTGAAGCTGCATGTCTCAAGATCGATGCAGTAAACCAGAAAATCTATTGCCGATCTAATGTAGAAAACAATTTGAATGGACAAGAAGAGTTCGTTGTGGATTATGACTACCTTATAGTAGCTGTGGGAGCCAATGTTAATACATTCAATACTCCTGGTGTCGTTGAGAACTGCCATTTCTTGAAGGTAACTTCTTTGTAAACCTTGTACATTTATGTATCAATATGTTCCTGTAAGTTTTCTCTGGTGAAATCAAGATCCTCAGATCAGCTACTCCCAGTATGACGAAGAAAGTGAATAAAGCTTTTTGGTTATAGGATTAATTGATGTATGCTTCTTTGTTGTTTTATTCACCTCGTGAAATTTACTTCTTCACGCAGGAAGTAGAAGATGCTCAAAAGATCCGAAGAACTGTTATTGACTGCTTCGAAAGGGCAAGCCTTCCAACTGTTAGCGATGAGGAGAAGCAGAGAATTCTTCATTTTGCTGTTGTTGGTGGTGGCCCAACTGGTGTGGAGTTTGCTGCAGCACTTCATGATTTCGTCAACGAGGATTTAGTCAAATTGTATCCCGGGGTCAAAGATCTAGTTAAAATAACACTTCTCGAGGCTGGAGATCATATTCTGAATATGTTAGTAATAATCTCTCACATATAAACCTTTGTTATATATTTCGAAATAGTATTTTGTTGTTTAATCTAGCATTACCCTACGATACGCATGTATTGATATGCTTTAGCAGTTTTATTAAAATCTGACTGAAATGCATGTGTGCAGTTATTTCTTTGTGATCACTGAAGTTTTTTCATGTTTTTGCAGGTTTGATAAAAGAATCACAGCTTTTGCCGAAGAAAAATTTCAAAGAGATGGTATTAATGTGAAAACAGGATCCATGGTTGTGAAAGTAACTGAAAAAGAAATCTTTACCAAAGAATTGAAAAATGGAGGGGAAGTTTCGACCATGCCTTATGGAATGGCACTCTGGTCAACTGGTGTGGGAACGCGTCCCTTCATAAAGGATTTCATGAGTCAAGTTGGTCAGGTGTGTTTGTCCTTCTTATTGATGTTGTGTTGACTTCTCCGTCTTTAGAAATCTTATGAAGCTCAATTATATGTCTTTTACAAGTACATGTCACTCTTATTAAACAAGCATCTGTTCCTTAATGCACAGGCTAATCGACGGGTGTTAGCAACTGATGAATGGCTGCGAGTGGAGGGATGTGACAAAGTGTATGCAATTGGTGATTGTGCCACAATAAATCAGCGCAAAGTCATGGTAAGTGCCCCTGTTATTTCTCCAACGTGTATTTTTGTACCAAAGTTGCCAAAAATGGCAGTTTCCAGTAGACCTTTGTCTCATCGTTCTTTTATTTGGGAAAAGTATGTTCAGCACAACTGTGGGATTTATTTTTCTTGTCATGGAATGGCTATTGTGAGATGACTACAACATGGTGAACAGTTAAAACTAAAGGTGAATGGGATCATGGGAGTCATGAGAACCAGTTGTTTGATGTGAACATTCCTTTAATTTGTCTTAACGCCTATTTGTTTTTCAGGAAGATATTGCTGCCATATTCCGAAAGGCGGACAAGGATAATTCAGGAACACTCACAGTTGAGGAATATAAAGCAGTGATTAATGATATTTGTGAAAGGTATCCTCAAGTGCAGCTTTATTTGAAGAGCAAACAGATGAAGAATATGGTTGATCTTTTGAAGGAAACACCGGATGTTTCAAAAGGATCCGCAGAGCTGAATATTGAAGATTTCAAAACAGCTCTTTCCAAAGTGGATTCCCAGATGAAAAATCTTCCAGCTACAGGCCAGGTATTATGCGTTTTTATGCACATTTGAGTATATTATTTATTGAAGGCATGTCTCTCCACGTGCATGTCTCATTTCCCTCTCAAATGGCATATTCCAGGTTGCTGCTCAACAAGGTGTCTACCTTGCCAAGTGTTTTAAACCGAATGGAAGACTGTGAGAAAAATCCAGAAGGTCCTCTCAGATTCCGTGGGGAAGGCCGCCATCGATTTCGCCCCTTTAGGTATGAGTTAAATTGAAATCTGTGTGTGTTTTTCTGAAGCCATGCTTCGCGATTGGATGCAACCTAACTGTGAACATTGCCATTGTCTAATCTTAATATTCTTCCTGAAGGTACAAGCATCTTGGACAATTTGCTCCTCTGGGTGGAGAGCAAACAGCAGCCCAGCTTCCTGGAGATTGGGTATCGATCGGCCACAGCTCCCAGTGGCTTTGGTATTCTGTTTATACAAGGTACCATGTGACTTTTTTTATTTCCTCTGTTGGTTGTTGAGCTGAAATTTCAATTTCAATCCCCTGTTGGTTGTTGGATAATAAACAGAGATTGATTTTTCTCTTTTGACTGTTTTATTTTAACAATTCAGCAAACAAGTGAGCTGGCGCAACAGGGCATTGGTGGTAACAGACTGGGTTAGGCGTTTCATCTGGGGGAGGGATTCAAGTCGCATTTGAGGCACATTTCATTTCAATTTAACTGCCAGAAGCTATCTTATCTGAACAAGAGTTTTGACAAATAAAGAACAAGTTTTGTTTTCCGGATTCAAGTGGTTGGTTGATTGATGAATGAGTTTAGGTGAAGAAGAAGCAGCAGATCCTTGATGCGGTAGTTGTATCGGATTCGTCGACTCACCTCACCATTGTTTTTTTATTTTTAAATATACGCATATTATATTCCTAACCCTTTGCTGCTGTTACTGGAATGATTATGTGTGGGATTTGAAGGTCCCAAATTTTGCAGTTATATTCCGTCTGATTTTTGTCGGGTGGGTGGTGATGTTTTATTTATTTATTGAAAGGACTCAGATTTACGTTCCCAATTGCAAGTTGCAAACTTTGTAAGTGAGATGTGATATTTTGGTCACTTCTTGAATGTGCGGACGAAAACAGGAGTGCAGGTTTTGAGATGAAACCGATCCGGATTGGATCGCGCACACAATACTTTTCCGGAATTGTTTAATTCAAAGATGAAATGATTGATTCCTTTCGGAGAAACTACAACTTTTATATGAGACATGACATCGCATCAAATTTCCTTGTTTTCTACTATGAGAGAGAGGAATTGGTTCCAACCGCTTAGAAATGAACTGAACTGAATAATGAAATGAATTGAATGGACTACACGTATGAACAACTGAGATCCGATCAGCAGCTGCCACGTGCAAATCCCCACGTTGCCGAGCCGACAAATAATTCACGAGTTTATGGAATCCACCATTTTATATGGACACCCAGAAAAGAGGACCGTTGGTAGAACATGGGCTTGTTAAGCTTTAGGGGGGACAAAGAGAGAGCTTAATAATACACTCTTACAGTAATTAACTTCGTTGGTGACGTCTAATCACCTCGGGGAAGTTTTCGTTCATCCATAGATTACATTCTAGCTTGTTAAACAAATAGTAATTTAATTAACTAATCACCATTACTAGATCCCTAAACCATTATTTTTCTCTGCTGCTGCTGCTGCCAACTATTTGCTTCTTTCTCCTCCTCCTCCTCCAGCTCAACCTCCATATTCTGCGCATTTTCAGACACAAAGGACAAAGCCCTCTTCTTCTCTTCTCTTCTCTTGCTCTGCTCAGACTGAGCTCTGTTTTTATGGATTCAAAAATAAAGAAGGTGCTGGAGCAGCTCCTGAGCCTGGGCCTGGTTAACTCGCGCAAGGACCGGAGCTCGGTCTCGCTGGTGTGCAAGGACTGGTACGAAGCGGAGCGGTTGTCTCGCCGCCACGTCTTCATCGGAAACTGCTACTCGGTGTCGCCGGAGATCGTGACCCGGCGGTTTCCGAACATTCGGAGCGTGACCCTGAAAGGGAGGCCGCGGTTCTCGGACTTCAATCTGGTCCCTCCGAATTGGGGCGGCGATGTTCAGCCTTGGCTTGAGGTGTTCGCCTCCGAATGCCCACTTCTGGAGGAGCTGAGGCTGAAGAGGATGACGGTGACTGATGAGAGCCTTGAGTTTTTGGCTGTTTCGTTTCCCGAGTTCAAATCTCTCTCGCTTCTCAGCTGTGATGGGTTCAGCACTGATGGCCTTGAAGCCATTGCCACTCACTGCAAGTAAGTGTCTTTCTGGATTTGGACCCTTTTCCAGTTTTTGAGTTTTGATTGTTAAGTGTTTTTCGATTGGTTTTTGGGTTCCAGAGATGAGATCTGAGGGAGAGAGAGAGTAATGGTTGAAGAAAGAATTCATCCCTGATTTATAACTTTTTGAACAAAATCATTTGGTTACAGGAATTTGATTGAGCTCGACATACAGGAGAATGACATTGATGATAAAAGTGGGGACTGGTTAAGTTGCTTCCCTGAAACCTTCACATCATTGGAAATACTAAACTTTGCCAGCTTCAATAGCAAAGTTGATTTTGATGCTCTTGAGAGACTTGTAAGTAGGTGCAAATCATTCAAGGTGTTAAAGGTTAATAAAAGTGTAACCTTGGAACAACTACAAAGTCTTCTTACCCATGCTCCTCAACTTTTGGAGCTTGGCACCGGCTCATTTTGGCAAGAGCTCACAGCTTCTCAGCATTCACAACTTGAAAGAGCATTTAGCAACTGCAAGAATTTGCACACCCTCTCTGGCTTATGGGAAGCAACGGCCCTTTATCTCCCAGTTCTGTATCCTGCCTGTACAAATCTCACTTTCTTGAATTTGAGTTATGCTACTTTGCTAAGTTGGGACCTTGCTAAGCTTGTTGCTCATTGCCCACTCCTCCGGCGCCTTTGGGTAAGTAAATTTCCCATTTATTTCCTTTTCTACATAATAGCTTCTTCATTTTGAAAATGCTAATCTATTAAGGTAGATGAGAAGGAAACACACTATAATCTTTACAATAATGACATGGTACATAATTGGGGTTTTGAAATCGTTACTGTTTGACCACACTGATGAAATAATAACTTAACCCTCTCTTTGATTGGCTTATTTATTTTTCTAAACACTGCAAGTACATCTACAACTGTCGAATGAGAAGATATGTTGACTATTGAAATCCTCAGGTGCTAACTCTTGATATCAAATTTTTGATACAGGTCCTGGACACAGTGGAAGACAAAGGGTTGGAGGCTGTTGGATCTAACTGTCCTTTGCTTGAGGAACTCCGTGTTTTCCCTTCTGCTCCTGACGGTGATGATATTATCGATGGGGTGACTGAATCTGGGTTTGTTGCTCTGTCTTATGGCTGCCGAAGACTCCGCTATATCCTCTACTTTTGTTGGCAGATGACTAATGCTGCTATAGCAACCGTTGCACAAAACTGCCCTGATATCACCCACTTTCGTCTCTGCATAATGAAACCAGGGCAACGAGATTACCTAACAAAAGAGCCTATGGATGAGGCTTTTGGGGCAGTGGTGAAGACGTGCACTAAACTACAAAGGCTTTCAGTTTCAGGTTTATTGACCGACCTTACGTTTGAATACATTGGGAAACATGCCCAAAATTTGGAATACCTTTCAGTAGCCTTCGCTGGAGAAAGTGATTGGGGGATGCAGTGTGTGCTGGAAGGTTGTCCCAAGCTCAAGAAACTTGAGATACGGGACTGCCCATTCGGGGATGCGGCTTTGCTCTCAGGTTTAGAGAAGTATGAATCTATGAGGTCAGTTTGGATGTCAGCCTGCAATGTGACAATGAACTCGTGTCGCTCATTGGCAAGTGAGAGGCCAAGATTGAATGTTGAGGTAATGAAGGATGATGGGAATGATGAAAATCAAGCTGATAAAGTCTATGTTTACCGTTCTGTTGCTGGGCCAAGAAGGGATGCCCCGCCTTTCGTTCTCACGTTTTGAAGATTGAATCCTATTGTGCTCACTCTTTGAAGCTTACAAAATACATGGTAATCTCTCTCCGTCCCTCTTCCTCTCATTTAGTCACACATACCATGTTGCAAGTCTGAGGCTCTTATCACACACAGTTAACATTGATAGTGTGTGCATGCACTACTAGCAAATATTCATCAAGTTAATTGCTTAAAGTTTAGTGCTTCTTAGTTCTGTATTCTCTATAATGTTAGTTGACTTAAGTAGCAAGAAATTTATCATCTTAGTTACCATTATACTAGAATGATAAGACAAGTTAAACAGTTAGTGATATGTCTTGGTGAGGTGCCAATTTGTGGATGATCTCTTGTTTGAAGATAGGAACATCTTGGACAATTTGGTCCTTTGGGATTGGGATGAGAGCAAACAGCAGCATACTGCTCCCAGTGGCTGGTTGGGTTGAAATTTCTGTCGTCGGACATAAACAGATTTTGATTCTCAGTTTTACTCGTATGTTTGAATATTTTGCTTCCTGAACAAATCAGCTGGCGCATCAGGGCATTGTTGATATCAGACTGACTGGGATAGGCGTTTCATTTGGGAGGAGGGAGGAGGAGGGATTCAAGTCGCATTTGAGGCATCTGACAATTTAACAGCCAGAAGCTAGAGCTTTGACAATAAAGAACAAGTGATGTTTTTTCGCATTCAAATAGTTTCATTGAGGAATTACGAGAAGCAGCAGATCAATCCGTCATAGTTGTTGGACTCGTGGATTAGATACATAGTCTCACCATTGATTTTGATAAATAACATAGGCATCTTCCTAATCCAAGTGCAACATGAAAGTCGTATGTTGTTTTGGTCAATTACTGTGGAGTGGAGTGGTGGACTAAGATACGAATCTCCCGTACTGAGTGAGCATCATGAAATTATTACTTTATCTATTGTTTGAGTTTCTAATATTAGGCAAGTCTCTGTTATTGAATTATTAGAATTGGTTTTCATTGCATCCTCCATTATAACATCAAGTACACTATATATACACGTACTAACATAACATAAATCTAATCAAGATGAGAACACACACTTACATTTACATACAACTTACAAGTGGCAATCAAGTATTAACTAGTAGTAATCTGAATGGGACGTATATAATATTAACTGTTACATAATGAAATATAAAGATCAACCTCAAATTCAGACCAAATTAGGGAAGGTGCAACTTTTTTTCTCTTGCCTCATCGGCTAGCTTCGGAAGCATATGTAACAGGGTAACTCTGCCTACCAAATTAGGGAATGTTGCACATGATGATGCGTTGAGAAAACTCTAAATACAAGATATCATCATCATTTGGGTGGAAAGCGAGCACCATAACCGTGTTAAGCCATTTGCTATGATATTTCCTTGTTATCATAAACTGGTTTTCCGGAAGCATATGTAATAGGGTAACTCTGCCTACCAAACACCATCTGTCATTGCATGCAGATGCAGCGTCGTCCGTGTCCGTGTCCGTGTCCGTGTCCATCTGGTCGTCAACTTTCAACTCCCAAGCACTCACATCACCATCGGTATCACCAACATACGCGGGGGAGTACTGGCACATTCGCAAACGCCCTCTACTAGACACACACATGAAATCAAATGTTCTTCCATACTCCGACTCCGCTTCATCTTGAGGGTTTATCAATTGGCTAGAAATTTTACTTTTTGCATTTCTTCTTCTGACAAAACAAAAGTCCAGACCATTCACTGTCTAAAGTTCAAACCCATTCTTTTCAAGATGAAGTTCAAAATTCCAACCCGACCTTGGACTGTGGGAGAAGATCAAGACTTGATCGAGGTTGTGGAGAGGTACGGCACCCACAAATGGGAAGCCTTAGCTAGATTTCTTGGAACAAGAACATGCAGAGAATGCCAATCTCGGTGGCTTGAGTTGAGTGGCTCCCCAAATAAGAAGAGACGAATAGAGCGAAATGGAGGATACAAAGCTTCAGGATCTGTCTAGAATAATGTCATCTCAATGGCAGACTATTTCAGAGCTTTTCAACGGTAGCCGTACTGCAATGGCTTGCCAACTGAAGCACGCATGCCTCCTTGAAAACCTACAGCTACAAGTATGTATTCCTTGTAATTTTCTTAATTTGACATTCGGTTGAAGAATTGTGTTTAAGATTATAGGCTTCTTAGGGTTAAAGAATTGTGTTTAGGCTATGGATTTATTAATTTGATTTTGGGTTCTAATTGGCTAGACATTGTTTGGAAAAAAAAAAAAAGAAAAAAAAAAAAAAAAAAAAAACAAAAAAAAAAAAACCGAATATCAAAATTAACAATCCCATAACTCCAAACCCAATTAGAACCCCAAATTAAATTGAAAAGCCCATAACCCCTAAAACCCCAATTCCCAAAATACAAATAAAATTCCAAGAAGCTAGAAATTATCGGGAAAAAAGACCCAAAATTCTCTAAATATAAAGAACCCAATACCAAATTAACAATCCCATAACTCCAAACCCAATTAGAACTCAAAATCAAATTAATAAATCCATAGCCTAAACACAATTCTTTAACCCTAAGAAGCCCATAACCCTAAACCCTTGCTGTTAAAATTAGGTCTGCCTGTCTAGGACTAGATCGTGGCACCAGTTCATAACGATCAAAGTCGAATCGTGAGCCTATTAATGAAGCAACAGCTGGTACCATAGAGAAGCGGCCATAAACTGGAGAGTCTTGACCAATTTGAAAGGTCGCTTGATGTAGTTGAAATAACTGAATTTTGGGTTGTTCGATCAAGTAAAGGAAATTCAATAATGGAATTCATAACTGTCTCAATCTTTGTTTTTTTAAATTTTTATTGTTTGATGACTATAAGGTCGGGTTGGGATTCTAAACTTCATCTTGAAAAAGAATGGGTTTGGACTTTAGACAGAGAATGGGTCTGGACTTTTGTTTTGTCAGAAGAAGAAATGCAGAAAGAATTTTGTTTCAGAAGAATGCAGAAAGTAAAAGCTCTAGTCTTTTAGAGAAAGGGCTCTGGACTATATAACGACTAGGTTCGACTAGTGTTTTTTTGTTTTTTTTTTTTTTTTTTTTTTTTTTTTTTCTTTCCACCAATAACTAACTGCTTTTTCTTTTTTGTTGTGCGTGAGTCTACGTAGCCTATGCTGCCATTGAAGGAGAGAGAATGTGGACATTTAATGGTTGGGCAGCTGGGCTTGTAAGAGGGGTAAAACAGGAGAAGAAAGAATATTACATGGATTTCTCCTAACACGTTTAACACTGTAAAATGCCTTTTAAACAAGTAAAAGAAATTTGGAAACTGATGGCTGCAGCAACGCATTTCAATCGTGACAGAATAAATTATGTGATGATCATAGATATAAAAACGACAGAATGCTAGACTTCAAAATAAAGCTAATAAAATCTATATGCTACATTTTGTCACATACAATACATAAATTTACTATTCCCACGTACCTATGAATGAACTCTCAACTATAAGAATATAAAGATAAAGGTTGAGACTCGAGAGTATAAAATCTTAGCCAAAAGAGCTACAAAGAAGTAGTGAGCTTATCCACCCATTGGTCTTCAATTCAGCCAATCATGAAATTGGCATTCAAACTAGAGCAACTTTATTTCTGGGTGATCACACTTAGGCTCCTTAAAATTTGCTCTTGCCAGTGAGCATAACCAGTCAAGGGAAACTCCTGCAAATATGCCGCACAAAAGACACAACAAGTATATTTCCCAAGGCATTTTGCTCAGGTCCCTGCAAAACAAAGAACCCAAGACACTAATTAACTTTCATGAGAAACCAGTAAAAATAACTTTTATATTCAGAACCATGTTTGACCAACCTTGTAACCCTAGGGTGCCAGTGCCACTGTCATGACACATACAGTGAGATAACCATTTGTTAATCCTAAGACTGATGTGAGCAAGATCATCCATCCCTGGTCGCCATATTTTCCGGTGAAGTAGCATGCTGGAACGAACAGGAAACGTGATAGAATTGCAATCATGAGGCCCCTTCTGGACTCGATCTTCAGGCATTTCACAAGGGGTATGTATCTTGATATCAAATCCAACACATTGTACATTGCCACCAGAACAAGTGGATACCTTTGAGTTCACCAGGCAACCAACACAAAGTTCTTATTTTGTAATTTACAAGATGAATTAGTAATACATGACATGAGATTGTGAGTCATACTCAGAAAACAAGCATTTAAGAGACAAAAGGATTGAAACTTACTGTGTGCCCAACTGATGTTTTCCGGTATTTTCAAATATGAAGCCAGGGAAGATTGATAATGTCAGCACATATATCAGAAACAAGTCAAGTGCATAATCTATATTATGCATGAACAATTGCTTAGTGCTCAGCCGTGTTGGATGTACTTTAGTATCATTTGAGACATGTGAAAATTTTAGAAAGCATGTTAGTAATTAGACATCTGAGCATATCCTCAAGAACATACACCATCAGATTAAAGAAAGTTTCAATACTTCTACGTCTGCTCGTGTTTGGATGCCAGCAGCAGCAAGATCAACAGATACAGTGTTAGAGCCTTCAGAGGCTGCATTTGAGCGGTAGTAATTTACTATAGGCAATCTAGGGGAGTAAATCGCATATCGAAGAATACACGGAAACTCTATATGAGTGTGGAAATTGCTAGGAACATCACTGCAAAAGACCAATCATACAAAAAATTGTCATTGATCGAAGTACTTAAAGTCCATTAGAAAGAATGAATCTAGCTTCAGAAAGCAGCTGATCAGATAAAGAATTTAAAAATGTAACTTCAATATACCTCAAATCCACATTTTCTGCTTTGACACTTTTAACCACAATGCAACAGCAGGTATATGAATATCAACCACCAATTTGTCTATTAGTAAAGAAAATTCACATACTCGCCCCCTTACAAAGACCATTGTGATACTTCTCGAAGGCAGCTTTTGTCATCAGCCTCATGCCAGAGGTAAGAGCACCTGATGCAGCCAAGCCAGCAAAGGGCTGCAGAAGCAGAACTTCAAAACAGCATTCACTGATAGGAAACTGTAAGATTAATGTTAATAACGAAAACAAAAGTGGTCACAAACATTGAAGACCTTTGAGAAGAAGACCAATCTGGATGAATTCAGGGCACATAAAAGACAGGTCTCCGACCATTCCACCTTGAACATGGGCATCTGCAACCCCAAATGCACCAACACATGCACATATACCAATATAAGGTGCAATCGCTCCGCTCCCAGACATAGCTAAATCCACCTATTACAAAGGGGAAAGTGAAGTTAAAAACATGGAGTAGAAAGCGGCGCAAAAATGAGTATGTACTTAGGCGTTACTTACCACTATTAGCATCAAGGTCCCAAGGAAGAAGAGAGCATATTCAATTAAGTTCCTCTTCCTGGTGTCCACCTTTGTTTCATGGTATGCTAGTGTTACCATAGTAATAAGTGCAAATGGTTGATAAACAAGGGTGTGAACCAGCGATGGGTGGTAACTCTATAAAAGAGAAATGTGCATCAGACTTTTAATCAGAGACTTTCATTTCATGGAACAGAGGTTCCCATTACTAAAAGTCCTAATTGGATAGAAACATAATTGGGTGCAGTGCTGATGATATTTCGAAACAAGTTCAATTCATCAACGCTGCACCCAATGATGTTTCTTCAATCTGGAACCTCCACTGCTCTCACCATCTGCATGATTGATTTTGAGCCACCCTTAAGTATTATATATATTGGCTGTGGCAGCAGATGACATTAAAAAATGCAGTACACCAAGACCAAGTTGTTGTTGTATTGAACCTTGACCTTGTACTACCATTTCACTTTCTAACTCAACTCTATTACTTGCCTGCTCTCTTCTACCTGTATTTTTTTATGGTACTGAAAACTTGTTGTACGACACATATCCATCCTATATTAAATTAAGTCCAAAGCTCTGCTCTCTCTCTCTCTGGTATTTTCTTTTACTATCATGATTAGATTTAGTCTTATCATGTTTCATTAAGTAGTTTGAGATATTTAAGTAAAAACCACTAATGAGGACTAGGTCCAATCTTGAAACTCTGATATATAATTCTCACATCCTACCTGCCAGTTATAGGTGAAATAGATGCTTTGAAATTACAAGCCAACAACCTAATTTCAAACCAGATTCTTACAAGTAGTTATGTACATTGCACTCCATTAAGATTTCATTTATAACAATTGCCTAAATTACGAACTTAGATTTCAGTCTATATCCATTGCCTAAAATACGAACTTATGTGCATGAAAGAATTACAATGATCAAGAGCAACAACTAAAATCTTATCGTTTACGAAAAACAATCTTACCCTCAGCATCTTCATGCATGATGGATAAAACTTGATTATGAGGAATGTGTTGCCAAAGTTGAGGCTTTCCATACAAATGTCCCATTTGAGAAAACTTATCAACCGCTCTGTTGCCTTCTCTATAAATATGAGTCAGGATGCAGTTGTTTATCTCTGGTATGATCAAGTTTATGTGACTAATATGCTTTTGCACTTCTGCTCATCGAATCTGTCTCCTTTGCTCCATGATTTGAAGTAACGTTTTTTCATCCCCTTCGAGCCGAGCCATACATTGCTCCGACCATTTTCCAGAACCAACTCAAGGCCTCTTCTGAGTGCAGCCAATTCTGCAATCAAGCTATTGGCTCTTCCTATAGGTTCAGCATATCTAAGTAAGAAGTCAGCCTTATGATTTCTAAATAGCCCTCCAATGCTTGCTTTTCCTGCTTTGCCTTCAGAAGATCCATCAAAGTTCAGTTTAGTCCAGCTAATTTTGGGTTCTCTTGCCTCATCGGCTAGCTTCGAATCCTTTCGAATTAGTTGCTAGCTGCCTTGCATGCATGGAGTGCGCTAGCTTTGTTTTTCGGTGGAGGATTGAGGACACACAAGCAATGGCCAGCTTTTCTTTTCTTTTTGCAACATTCTCTTGATGGCTCGTCTGGTTCTAGTAGTACTAGTAGTATAAGTGGTAACACGGCGCACGTGGGAATTCAAGGAGGACGAGGAGGCCGCCAGTTTGTGTCGAGTAAGTATTGGTGTCGGCCACCAACACCAATGGGAAGACAGGTCTAGCAGAGTGAATCTTACCATAATAACACGGGATGCCCGTAACCTCCGCTAGCCTTGCTTCGCGAATGTTGCACATGATGATGTGTTGAGAAAACTCTAAAAACAAGATATCATCATCATTTGGGTGGAAAGCGAGCACCATAACTGTGTTAAGCCATTTGCCATAATATTTCCTTGTTATCATCAACTGGTTTTCCGGAAGCATTTGTAACAGGGTAATTCTGCCTACCAAACACCATCTGCCACTGTCATTGCATGCAGATGCAGCGTCGTCCGTGTCCATGTCCTTGTCCATCTGGTGGTCATCTTTCAACTCCCAAACACTCACATGACCATCGGTATCACCAACATATGCGGGGGAGTACTGGCACATTCTCAAACGCCCTCTACTAGACACACCCATGAAATCAAATGTTCTTCCATACTCCGACTCCGACTCATCTTGAGGTTTATCAATGAAATGGAAACAATATTTAGCCGAGTTGGAGCTGTTGTTGGTGTAAGGATCCAAACCAATAACAAAGCCATCACTAGAGCTCCACCAGTAGAGCATTCCATTATGCGCAACCCCTGCATTGCTATGCAAGCTATTAAAACAAAAGCTTCTTGGGCAGGATACAACTGACTCTGTCCATCTACCAGTCTTGGAGGAGAGCATTTCCATGTTGAACTCGAAGGATTTCTCTGGACACTGAGGAATTATTCGCACAACCTTGTACCTGTACTCAACATTAAGCCGGATTCTACTACATGCATCACTTTCTTCTTCTACTTCTTCTTTTCGGTGGTCTTCCTCCTCACATTGCTGCTTCTTACAATTATAGTAGTAGTAGGGTTCGCAGATGAATCCCACTCTTACTTCCTGGTGGCATCAAGGAGCGGGAGGAAGAGCATCCCATTGCCTGATGTATGGATTGCAAATGTAGTAATCCTGTTGAAAACACAAGGTTGCGCAGCATAAAACTAAATTGTTATACCCTCCTACCACAATTGGTTCATACTCTGGTGTGTTGATGCTGCTACCATGAAGGAGAAAGCTGCCCTTGAAGAGAAGGAGAATGAGAAAGCAGCTGCTGCTGCCGTGGAGGAGAAGGAGAAAACTGCTGCCGTGAAGGAGGAGGAGAAAACTGTTGCCGTGAAGGACAAGGAGAAAGCTGCTGACATGAAAGAGAAGGAGAAAGATGACAAAATCAGTGAATTGTGATAATCTGTCCATCAAAACAGAGTTATTAGTTGGTTGTTTTCAACATTAATTTCTGACCAGAGATGTTTCTGCATTAAAATCTCTTTTGGTGAACCTTGTACAGCGCCTAATGCTATTCTGGACATGATTTGAGGTTACTTATGCCGTCTGTGCATCATATATTGTGTTTCATTGCTCCCTTTCTCTCCCTCTAATATGTTGGTACTTATTTTCTTGTTTGTGAATTTGTGGCAAGCATACAACCAACAGCCAGCTTAAATCAGGGGAGAAGAAGGTTTTCTTGCAGCGTTCAACTCCAAGGAGCAAAATTGATCTCGACTTTGATAATTCTTTCTCCAATTTGAATAAACAGGTATGGATAAGTTTTCAAAACTCTTGACATACTCTCTCAAATAGTTAGTAGTTATACACATTTTTCAATTGTGCCATCCCATGCACGTGCCCCTGCACATTCTGAATCAATTTCATGCTGGAAAAAAATATTCAACTATAACTAAATAAGGCTGTTGAAGTGATGTAAATGTACCAAAACAAAAAGGAAGTGTGTTCTTCTTTGCTAAACAAATTTTGATTTCTAAAAACAAAAAGTGTTAGTGTTGAATCGTGATTGGATTACTTTTTATATTTGATGAGTAAGACTGCATTGGAAAAGGGGAGAGTGTGCAACACAGTATGAATCAAAAGGTTTTGTTGCTATTCTCCTCCCTCTGTAACTGCCGGAAAAGAAATTAAGAAAACTTGGGTGTAGAGTGACAACATGGGAAGGTTGTTTGCGATCAGTCTTGAAGGACCAATAAGTTCTTAAAGGAAAAACAAAAGTTGTCTACTTTTGATTTGCTATGGTTATTGGGTGCTATGTTCTTCAGTTGACGCTTGAAAGCACAGGTGGAGAATGCCTCTTTGGCATAGTCGAATCATATGTTTAGATATGAAATCAAGTTTTCTTTGGATTGCTGGAGATATCTATTGAATTTATTAATGTATCATTTTTATCTCATCTCAAACTTTGGGTTTATAAATTCAAATGATTATTGAGATTATGATAGTTGGGGTTTTATAATTGTACTGTTTATTGAGAAGGAGAAAGCTGCCATGAAGGAGAAGGATAAAGCTGTAGTGAAGGAGAAGGAGAAGGATAAAGCTGCCACGAAGGAGAAGGAGAATGAGAAAGTAGCTGCTGCTGCTGTGGAGGAGAAGGAGAAAACTGCTGCCGTGAAGGAGGAGGAGAAAACTGCTGCCGTGAAGGACAAGGAGAAAGCTGTTGACATGAAATAGAAGGAGAAAGATGACAAAATTAGTGAATTGTGATAATCTGTCCATCAAAACAAAGTTATTAGTTGGTTGTTTTCAACATCAATTTCTGACCAGAGATGTTTCTGCATTAAAATCTCTTTTGGATTTTGTTGGTGAACCTTGTACAACGTCTAATTCTATTCTGGACATGATTCGAGGTTACATATGCCGTATGTGCATTATATATTGCGTTTCATTGCTCCCTTTCTCTACCTCTAATATGTTGGTACTTATTTTCTTGTTTGTGAATTTATTTACGGTCAAGGCATATAAACAAAGCATATGGCAGGGGAGGACCAAATCTTCAATGTATTGATGCATTTCGGTTTCAGCACGGTCTTGTTCATATCTACTTATCTGCTTATTTGTGCATCAATACACTGAAGATTTGGTCCTCCCCTGCCATATGCTTCGTTTATATGCCCTGGCCATAAATAAATTCACAAACAAGAAAATAAGTACCAACATATTAAAGGGAGAGAAAGGGAACAATAAAACGCAATATATGATGCACATACGGCATAAGTAACCTCGAATCATGTCAAGGTTCACCAACATAATCCAAAAGAGATTTTAATGCAGAAACATCTCTAGTTAGAAATTAATGTTGAAAACAACTAACTAATAACTCTGTTTTGATGGACAGATTATCACAATTCACTAATTTTGTCATCTTTCTCCTTCTATTTCATGTCAACAGCTTTCTCCTTGTCCTTCACGGCAGCAGTTTTCTCCTCCTCCTTCACGGCAGCAGTTTTCTCCTTCTCCTCCACAGCAGCAGCAGCTACTTTCTCATTCTCCTTCTCCTTCGTGGCAACTTTCTCATTCTCATTCTCCTTCACTACAGCTTTATCCTTCTCCTTCTCCTTCATGGCAGCTTTCTCCTTCTCAATAAACAGTACAATTATAAAACCCCAAGCTATCATAATCTCAATAATCATTTGAACTTATAACCCCAAAGTTTGAGATGAGATAAAAATGATACATTCATAAATTCAATAGATATCTCCAGCAATCCAGAGAAAACTTGATTTCATATCTAAGCATATGATTCGACTATGCCAAAGAGACATTCTCCACCTACGCTTTCAAGCGTCAACTGAAGAACATAGCACCCAATAACCATAGCAAATCAAAAGTAGACACCTTTTGTTTTTCCTTTAAGAACTTATTGGTCCTTCAAGACTGATCGCAAACAACCTTCCCATGTTGTCACTCTACACCCAAGTTTTCTTAATTTCTTTTCCGGCAGTTACAGAGGGAGGAGAATAGCAACAAAACCTTTTGATTCATACTGTGTTGCACACTCTCCCCTTTTCCAATGCAGTCTCACTCATCAAATATAAAAAGTAATCCAATCACGATTCAACACTAACACTTTTTGTTTTTAGAAATCAAAATTTGTTTAGCAAAGAAGAACACACTTCTTTTTTGTTTTGGTACATTTACATCACTTCAACAGCCTTATTTAGTAATAGTTGAATATTTTTTTCTAGCATGAAATTGATTCAGAATGTGCAGGGGCACGTGCATGGGATGACACAATTGAAAAATGTGTATAACTACTAACTATTTGAGAGAGTATGTCAAGAGTTTTGAAAACTTATCCATACCTGTTTATTCAAATTGGAGAAAGAATTATCAAAGTCGAGATCAATTTTGCTCCTTGGAGTTGAACGCTGCAAGAAAACCTTCTTCTCCCCTGATTTAAGCTGGCTGTTGGTTGTATGCTCGCCACAAATTCTCTATACACAAAAACCCAAAAATCAAATCAATAATTCCAAAACCCTATATCTAAATACGAACCAAACATCTAATTAACAAACCCAGAACCTGAAATCAACTTAACTCCATAACCCTAAACCTAATTTTCTCAAAATACAAGAACGAAATCCAGAGCATGCTTTGGTAGGTTTTATTGAGTTGTTGGATTTCTGGGAAGGGAAAATGAGGTTCACTTTGTGTTCGTTTTCACTACGACTAAAGAAGGAAAAAAACACCTATTAGAACGTATTTTGATGAGCTTTTTGCCTTATGCAAAAATATTTGTCAATTTTGCCGGTGAGGACAACTTTGGGCGGTGTATGCTTCTAGTGGGTTCGTCTTTGGGACATTTAGCTTTTCTGCCTTGGGCTTTCATGGAGAGTTATTTTCTGAACAAAAAACCCATAACCCTAAAATCCCAACCAATTCTCAAAAGACAAAGAACCAAACATCTAATAACAATTCGAGACCAGAAATCAAATTGAAAAGCCAAGAAATGCATACCTGTGGTGGGCCAGCTTTTTTTGTGAAGCTTGATGTTGATGATCCTTTTGGAAAAAAAAACCCAAAATTCTCTTAGGGGTGTATTCAATTGAGATTTTAAAAGACTATTTTAGGATAAAAAGTCTTGTGGTATTCAATTAAGACTTTTAAATAATTTCAACAAGTCTTGTGGTATTCTATTAAGACTATTATGATTTTTAAAAGAGGGTGTCGAAATCACGTGGTATTCAATCAAGACTTTAAACAAGTAACAAAAAGTCTTATGATATTAAAAAACTTGCTAATTTAGAAGGATTTTTTAAAATGTGAAATTATATGGGACTTTTTAGTAGAGGTATAAATACCAAACCTTATCTCAAAATCCCATCCTAACCCATAAGATTTTTCACATGGGATTTTTTTTTTCTCTGGAAAAGATGAACCCCAGGCTCTGCTGAAGGACCCGCCAAAACCCATCGACCCAGATCACAAAACCACCCTCTCCGGCTATCCCCAAGTACATAACCATTTCTCATGCTGGCCTTGCCTTTACAATTTTTATATTTTACGTTGTGGGCAAGCTCTTAGAGGAATACTTGAGACCAATTTAGTGGGTTGTGCTTTGTTTAATTCCTCTCAGAGGTATACAACAAAGTCTGGGTATTGTATTATCTAATCACATCTGAGTCTGATGGAGTGACTGAACAAGTGATGAGTATGCTTCCAAATTCAAAGTCTGCGAGGGGTAGATGTGTTGAAATTCTTGATAATGCTATATCTGGTGTTCTTTTGGCTACAGCTAAGACTCTACAAAATACATTTCTTGTACATGTCCACCGTTCTTGCAACCCTCAGCTCTTTGCTAGTTCCCACCAACTGTTCGACAAAATGCCTCAAAGAGGCTTTGCTGCAGCAGCTGGGAACCAATATGGGATTGTCCAGATATGTTAACTTACTGATAACATACCTTCTACTGTGAAAGGAGAGAATGATCCAAATTCTCAGCTCACTAGCTCAAGTGGAATACAGTGGGGTTGCAGCTCAAGACTCTATTAGTAAAGGAGATCATGTTTCTGACAATCTGGTTGCAACTGAAAACAAAATGGTAAATGATCGTGATGATGAGGGAATTAGTGACAATATGACAAGTAGTGATGTAGTCGAGGATCAAAAAGTTGAGATACGGCAGAACTTGACTGAACTTGAAGGTAGTGTTCAAGTAGCAGGGGACGATGGTTTTGCTAATGGGAGTACTACCATTGATTCTGTCGAATGAGAGGTAGAGAATTCAGCTAAAAACGCAGCAACCCAAATCACTTGTTCAATGTTGAGGAGACTATGTGGTTTTCTCTTTCTTAATATGAAGGAGAAATTAATTTCAGCATTTTTTTTGTGGAATTTTGCTCAATGTGCATGGTAGAAAGAATTAACCCAACTTTGTGTTTTTATTATCTTTGATTCTCGCCACCATGTGCATCCATCTTTTGGTGATACTTTAAGAAGTTCAAGAGGGGCTAAGGGTTACTAGCAGAATTGCAGTTAGCATTGTTAGTTTCAAAAAAATAAAACCAAAACTTATTTAGCTGATGTGGTATATTCTAAGCCATTGGATTTTTTAAACTCATAATCCGTTAAATCCATGTGGTCCTTTGAAATCTTATATATCTTGATATAAATCTTTTAAAATACATAACTAAAAAATCTTGATTATAAAAAATCCATAAATAAAATCTTATAAGTCATTATATTCTGTTTAAATCCACTAGACTTTTTTATCTCTAAATAGTCTTTTAAAATCTCAATTGAATAACCCAAAACACAATTCTTCAACTGAATATGAAATTGAAGGAATACATACCTGTGGGTTTTCAAGGAGGAAGGCGTGCCGTTGAAAATCTCTGAAATAGTCTGCCACTGAGCTGACATTATTCTAGACAGCTCCCGAAGCTTTGCATCCTCCATTTCACTCCATTCATCTCTTCTTATTTGGGGGTCGAGCCAATTAACCCACCGAGATTGGCATTCTCTGCGTGTTTTTGTTCCAAGAAATCTGGCTACAGCTTTCCATCTGTGGGTGCCGTACCTCTCCACAGCCTCGATCAAGTCTTTATCTTCTCCCACAGTCCAAAGTCGTGTGGATAAGATTTTGAACTTCATCTTGAAAAATAATGGGTTTGGACTTCAGAGAGAATGGGTCTGGACTTTTGCCTTGAGAGAGAACGTGGGCATTTAATGCTTGGGCAGCTGGGCTTGTGAGAGGGGTAAATCAGGAAAATACATAATATTACTCCTAACACGTTTAACATTGTAAAATGCCTTTTAAACAAGTAAAAGAAATTTGGAAACTGATGGCTGCAGCAACGCATTTCAATCGTGACAGGATAAATATAAAAATGACACAATGCTTGACTTGGTAAGCTTTTGGAATTTTCAAAATAAAGCTAATAAAATCTATATGCTAGATTGTGTCACGTATAATACATAAATTTACTATTTCGACGTACGTATAAATGAACTCGAGAGTATAATCTTAGCCAAAAGAGCTATTAAAAAAATAGTGAGCTTATCCACCCATTGTCAAATACAAACCAATGAAACTAACCCTTACGGAAAGAGAGGCAAATGGCATGAAAAGAAACCGATTTTGGCAAGTAGTGGTCTTCATTGCTATTTATTTTTCTGAATATTTGTTATACTCGAACAAAATTTTCGAACTAGAAAAACAAGTTTCATATTCATAAAGTGAAAAGAAAGAATTTATTATATTTTGAAAATTTCTTGGTTTTCTCCTAACACGTGTAACACTGTAGTTGAAGAAAGTACACAGTCGCTCGCTTTTGAGCGACAAGCGACTGTGAATAGCATACCTCTATCACTAACTATCAATTAATCCCATTGGTTTATGCCCTCCTAATTATTAATTAATCCCACACGACAAATGTCAAGCCTTGGTAGCCGGTCCCACATGTGACAAAAACCAAACAAGTCAATTTCTAGGTGTCAACAAAATATAACTGTTGCTGCTGTTTGTTTTTGATTTTTTTCCTTTCCATTTTTTCCTATTTTTCTTTGGAAAAATGATTTCATAATAATAAGGGAGAATTATTCAACAAAATCAGTCAGGATGCATAGAAAGAGTGAACTCCAACATTAGTTTATGATGCTTAAACAAAGTTCTAAAGACACCCTCAAAATAAAAAATAAAAAAAGACGATCCATTATTCAAAATTAATTAGTCACCCTTTGACTTGGATCAACAAAAATGTATGTTACGCAACAATGAGAAGACACTGCATAAGGTTTGCTGCAGGTCTACTATATCTTCAATATGTCACACTAATCTTCTTCTGTCATCTTAATTCAAGAAAGAAAACCAATAATTTAAACTTGGTCTTCAATTCAGCCAATCATGAAATTGGCATTCAAGCTAGAGCGACTTTATTTCTTGGTGATCACACTTCGGCTCCTTAAAATTTGCTCTTGCCAATGAGCCATAACCAGTCAAGGGAAACTTCTATGTCTGCTTGTGTTTGGATGCCAGCAGCAAGATCAACAGATACAGTTTTAGAGCCTTCAGAGGCTGCCTTTGAGCGGTAGTAATTTACTATAGGCAATCTAGGGAAGTAAATTGCATATCGAAGAATACACAGAAACTCAATGAGTGTGGAAATTGCTAGGAACATCACTGCAAAAGACCAATCATACAAAAAATCGTCATTGATCGCAGTACTTAAAAGTCCATCAGAAAGAATGAATCTAGCTTCAGAAAGCAGCTGATCAGATAAAGAACTTAAAAATGTTACTTCAATATACCTCAAATCCACATTTTCTGCTTTGACACTTCTAACCACAATACAACAACAGGTATATGAATATCAACCACCAATTTGTCTATTAGGAAAGAAAATTCACATACTCGCCCCCTCACAAAGACCATTGTGATACTTCTCGAAGGCAGCTTTTGTCATCAGCCTCATGCCAGAGGTAAGAGCACCTGATGCAGCCAAGCCAGCAAAGGACTGCAGAAGCAAAACATCAAAACAGCACTCACTAAGATAGGAAACTGTAAGGTTAATGCTACAAACGATGACAAAAGTGGTCACAAACATTGAAAAACTTTGAGAAGACCACCAATCTGGATGAATTCAGGGCGCATAAAAGACAGGTCTCCGGCCATTCCACCTTGAACATGGGCATCTGCACCCCCAAATGCACCAACACATGCACATATACCAATATAAGGTGAAATCGCTCCACTCCTAGACATAGCTAAAACCACCTATTACAAAGGGGAAAGTGAAGTTAAAAACATGGAGTAGAAAGTGGCACAAAAATAGGGTACGTACATAGGCGTTACTTACCACTATTAGCATCAAGGTCCCAAGGAAGAAGAGAGCATATACAATTAAGTTCCTCTTCCTGGTGTCCAACTTTGCTTCATGGTATGCTAGTGTTACCATAGTAATAAGTGCAAATGGTTGATAAACAAGGGTATGAACCCGCAACAGGTGATAACTCTATAAAAGAGAAATGTTCATCAGACTTTTAATCAGAGACTTTCATTTCATGGAACAGAGGTTCGCATTACTAATAGTCCTAATTGGATAGAAACATAATTGGGTGCAGTGCTGATGAAATTTCGAAACAAGTTCAATTCATCAACGCTGCACTCAATGATGTTTCTTCAATCTGGAACCTCCACTGCTCTCATCATCTGCATCTGCATGATTGATTTTGAGCCACCCTTAAGTACTATATATATATATTGGCTGTGGCAGCAGATGACATTAAAGAATGCAGTACACCAAGACCAAGTTGTTGTTGTATTGAATCTTGACCTTGTACTACCATTTCAATTTCTAACCTCAACTCTGTTTCTTGCTGCTCTCTTCTACCAGTACTGTTTTATGGTACTGAAAACTTGTTGTACTACACATCTCCATCCTATATTAAATTAACTCCAAAGCTCTGCTTTCTCTCTCTCTCTCTGGTATTTTCTTTTACTATCATGATTAGATTTAGTCTTATCATGTTTCATCAAGTAGTTTGAGATATTTAAGTAAAAACCACTAATGAGGACTAGGTCCAATCTTGAAACTCTGATATATAATTCTCACATCCTACCTGCCAGCTATAGTTGAAATAGATGCTTTGAAATTACAAGCCAACAACCTAATTTCAAACCAGATTCTTACAAGAAGTAGTTATGTACATTGCACTCCATTAAGATTTCATTTATATAAAATTGCCTAAATTACAAACTTAGATTTCAGTCTATATCCATTGCCTAAAATACAAACTTATGTGTATGAAAGAATTACAATGATCAAGAGCAACAACTAAAATCTAATCTTTTACGAAAAAACAATCTTACCCTCAGCATCTTCATGCATAATGGATAAAACTTGATTAGGAGGAATGTGTTGCCAAACTCGAGGCTTTCCATACAAATGTCCCATTTGAGAAAACTTATCAGCCGCTCTGTTGCCTTCTCTATAAATATGAGTCAGGATGTAGTTGTTGATCTCTGGTATGATCAAGTTTATGTGACTAATATGCCTTTGCTTCTGCACATCGAATCTGTCTCCTTTGTGCCATGCTTTGAAGCAACGTCTTTGCATCCCCTTCGAGCCACACATCGCTCCAACCATTTTCCAGTACCAACTCAAGGCCTCTTCTGAGTGCAGCCAGTTCTGCAATAATGCTGTTGGCTCTTCCTATATGTTCAGCATAGCCAAGTAAGAAGTCAGCCTTGTGATTTCTAAATAGCCCTCCAATGCTGGCTTTTCCTGCTTTGCCTTTAGAAGATCCATCAAAGTTCAGTTTTGTCCAGCCAATTTTGGGTTTTTCCCATGTCACTGGAATTGGGGCCTTGTGCAAACTCCAGAACAGACAAACCGGGTTTTGTATTAATTTCTCAAACCTCAAAATCTTAGTGAAGGCTAACATTTTCCGGCAGTTACTTTTCTTAAAAACTATATATTCTAATTAACATCTGCATGAATGCAGCACACTGGAAAAAATGCTGAGAGGAAGAAATGAATTATTTCGTAGAGAAAAAGATTACAAGATTGAAGAAGTAAAATTCAATGTAGCATCAACGTTACATATGTACAATCTGAAATTGCTTGAAAGTAGGGGGATAAGGTTTGCAGAACAAAAGGAAGGCAAAGGTTTGCATGTGGAAAAGTTTATTAATGGCTAAGTTATGAATTTAAAACCTCAAACCAGGGCCATTAATCCTTTGGAACATAAGAAGCTATTGCTTCACGTAACCATGCATTGATAAAGTTGGAGTGGAGAGAAGGCAAGGTACAAATTCATATTTTACAACAAGGCAGCACTAAAGTAATGCAATATATATACTCAGATAATGATGGCCAAAGAGATTTCTTCAAGAACTCTCAAACACATAATTCTGATTCTGCAGACATTTTTTTTCTTCTTTTGTTCTGACATTTGGATTTGAGTTTTTGAGAAATTGCATGACTTGAGGAGAAAGAGTGAACTCCAACGTTGACCATTAAATGGTAACTGTAAAAACCTACTGATTTTATCCAAATGGGATTTTTTACATATAGAAAATTGCAAACTAACTGCAATTTTCTATAGAATTGGTGGGAAATCCGAAAGGTAAGGATGCCTAAATTTGATTAGTTTTTTCAGGAATGCACTTGAGGAGGAGATATAGAGAAAGCATGCAATAGGGTCTTTGACATTGGTCAACTGTGATTGAGATGATCTAATCAGTTGCCTTAGATTTCCATCCCCACAAAATTAGTTAGGCCAATCAGAGGAGGAACAAAAAAAAAATCTCCTCAAATGTGATTGAGTTTCTAATATTAGGCAAATCTCTGTTATTGAATTAGAATTGGTTTTCATTGCATCCTCCATTATAAAATCAAGTATACTATACATGTACTAACATAACATAAATCTACTCAAGATGAGAACACACACTTACATTTACATACAACTTACAAGTGGCAATCAAGTATTAATTAAACTAGCCTAACTAGTAGTAATCCGAATGGGACGTATATAATATTAACTATGAACATCAAATTCGGACCAAATTAGGGAAGGTGCAACTTTATTTCTCTTGCCTCATCGGCTAGCTTCGAAACCTTTCGAATTAGTTGCTAGCTGCCTTGCATGCATGGAGTGCGCTAGCTTTGTTTTTCGGTGGAGGATTGAGGACGCACAAGCAATGGCCAGCTTTTCTTTTCTTTTTTGCAACATTCTCTTGATGGCTCGTCTGGTTCTAGTAGTACTAGTAGTATAAGTGGTAACACGGCCCACGTGGGAATTCAAGGAGGAGGAGGAGGCCGCCAGTTTGTGTCGAGTAAGTATTGGTGTTGGCCACCACGGGAACACCAATGGGAAGACAGGTCTAGCAGAGTGAATCTTACCATAATAACACGGGGTGTCTGAAACCTCCGTTAGCCTTGCTTCGCGAATGTTGCACATGACGATGTGTTGAGAAAACTCTAAAAACAAGATATCATCATCATTTGGGTGGAAAGCGAGCACCATAACCGTGTGAAGCCATTTGCTATGATATTTCCATGTTACCATCAACTGGTTTTCCTCCGAAAACGTATGTAACAGGGTAACTCTGCCTACCAAACACCATCTGCCATTGTCATTGCATGCAGATGCAGCGTCGTCCGTGTCCATGTCCTTGTCCATCTGGTGGTCATCTTTCAACTCCCAAACACTCACATGACCATCGGTATCACCAACATACGCAGGGGAGTACTGGCACATTCGCAAACGCCCTTTACTAGACACACCCAAGAAAGCAAATGTTCTTCCATACTCCGACTCATCTTGAGGTTTATCAATGAAATGGAAACAATATTTAGCCGAATTGGAGCTGTCGTTGGAGTAGGGATCCAAACCAATAACAAAGCCATCACTAGAGCTCCACCAGTAGAGCATTCCATTGTGCGCAACCCCTGCATTTCTATGCAAGCTATTAAAACAAAAGCTTCTTGGGCAGGATACAACTGACTCTGTCCATCTACCAGTCTCGGAGGAGAACATTTCCATGTTGAACTCGAAGGATTTCTCTGGACACTGAGGAATTATTCGCACAACCTTGTACCTGTACTCAACATTAAGCCGGATTCTACTACATGCATCACTTTCTTCTTCTACTACTTCTTTTCGGTGGTCTTCCTCCTCACATTGCTGCTTCTTACAATTATAGTAGTAGTAGGGTTCGCAGATGAATCCCACTCTTACTTCCTGGTGGCATCGAGGAGCGGGAGGAAGAGCATCCCATTGCCTGATGTATGGATTGCAAATGAAGTAATCCCGTTGAAAACACATGGTTGCGCAGCATAAAACTAAGTCGTTATACGCTCCTACCACATGCATTGAGCCGCAGATGCAAGGGGAAGTCGACAAATGATTTCTATCAATACAAGGTCAGGGAGATGATCAAGATTCAACATGCTGGGGTTTAAGTGAGGCTCGGAGTGTGGTTCAAGATCAAGAGATTGGGATATTCTCTTTATTCTTTTGGCAGCACGAGCATCACTATCCCCAGGTCTCATGGCGAAATTGTTAGGACTCATCATTGATGTGCAGATTGATTGCAATTTGCAGAGATATATACAATAAGACTCGTTCCCACAAGCTCTATATATAGTGTTCTATCTGACGAAAGTGAAATAGGAATAGGAAAGATATCCAAATCCAACAAGAAGTAGGAAACGAATCAACTTATTACTCATTGCTCTAATTAGCAATCCCAATCCAGCGAAAAGGAAAGGAAACTACTTTTAGAAGAACTCTGAAGTTTCTTTATTTATTACCCTTGGAAAATTAATTATTCTTCCTATATCAATAGGGAAAGCAATGAATTTTCCTTTTTTTTTCCCTTCCTATATCAATAAGGAAACTACTTATCTGCTTATTTGTGCAATTCGGTTTCAGGACGGTCTTGTTCATATCTACTTATCTGCTTATTTGTGCATCAATACACTGAAGATTTGGTCTCCCGCCATATGCATCGTTTATATTCCCTGGCCGTAAATAAATTCACAAACAAGAAAATAAGTACCAACAGATTAGAGGGAGAGAAAGAGAGTAATGAAACGCCATATATGATGCACAGACGGCATATGTAACCTCGAATCATGTCCATAATAGCACTAGACGCTGTACAAGGTTCACCAACAGTTGCCATTCAAGAAGTCCATTTACTACCTAACCTACTAAAAAGTGCAATGCTTGTAAAGTTGCAAGAAGAAAATGGTAAGCTGAATCTATGCATAAGATCCTGAAGATAAATGCACTGGATTAGTATGATATAAACATAAAAATAAACCAAACATAAATTCTTTGTGAGACTGTAGTGTGTGTTTCATACTAATAACATTGCCAGTCAAATGATCAACCAGAAGCCTAGCTAGCTAAAGCTTACCCTCGTTGACATTCCATACACACCCTACGAACTTGCTTACGTGACACAACTTCATTGGTGGTGATCCGAACACACCCGGTTCGTTGGGTGAGGACAAAATATGGGCTACGATCTTATTGGGCTGTCTGTGTCAGCTTGAGCTTACCTAGGCCATTAGAGTCCGTTAACAGAGGTTACAGACAATAAACAAATGAATAATTATTAAATCCCACAATTAATTATTTCTCTCTTCTTTGCTGCTTTTGCTACGCAAGGCCTTGGGTCGGGCCTTCTCTCTCCTTCTTTCTCTCCCTCAAGCTGCTCAACCTCCATATCCAGCTATCTCAGACCAAGCTCCTTCTCTGTGTCCATGGCAGATCCAGCCTCTAAACATTAAAAGTTTAAATCTTTCCTTTAAAGGTTTCTGCTTCTCACAAATCTCATATCCGGATCCGTACAGCATTTCTCAGCTCGAGCTCACACTACTTAAACCAGGCTCCGAGCTCCGTTTTGCTTCATGGGTTCGAAAAGAAGCAAGTCCGATTCACTGGACCCGGACGAGCCGAACCGGGTCGGGTCGGATTTTCCAGACGAGGTTTTGGAGCAGGTCCTTGGCATGGTGAAGTCCCGCAAGGACCGGAGCTCGGTCTCGCTGGTGTGCAAGGAGTGGTACGACGCGGAGCGGTGGTCCCGCCGCCAAGTGTTCATCGGAAACTGCTACTCGGCGTCGCCGGAGATAGTGACCCGGCGGTTTCGGAGCATCCGGAGCGTGACCCTGAAAGGGAAGCCCCGGTTCTCGGACTTCAATCTGGTTCCTCCGAACTGGGGCAGCGATGTTCAGCCGTGGCTGGAGGTGTTTGCCAGTGAATACCCGCTTCTGGAGGAGCTGAGGCTGAAGAGGATGACGGTGACTGATGAGAGCCTTGAGTTCTTGGCTGTTTCGTTTCCTGGGTTCAAAGCTCTCTCGCTTCTCAGCTGTGATGGGTTCAGCACAGACGGCCTCGGAGCCATTGCCACTCACTGCAAGTAAGTGTCTTTCAATTTGGCCCCTTTGGAAGTTTTGATTTTTGTTATTGGGTTTTGGGTGTCCAGAATTGAGATCTGGGTTGCGGTGGTTTGAGTTTCAGAAAGCACAAAACTTGATAATGTGTTCTATTAAATTTTTATTTTTTGACCCATAAAACTCACAAGTAGGGGTTTTTTGTTGTTGGTAAATATCCTTTTAAAACATACAATAAATTGTCTAATTTTCTGCACTTACACGTGGACTGCAGAAACAATAACCAAGCACCCAAGAAATAACCCAGAAACTGAAATGATTCTGTTATTCTTTTCCTACCTCTTTCTCTTGTGGCGACGTTTCAACTGTTAATCCAAAGTCTAAAAGAGACAATTCATTTTTCTGGCTAGAATATTTTAGTACAATAACCACCGCCCAAATTTGGTTCACATGATAGGTAGGTCAATTGTTCTGGCAAAAAAAGAAAGATAGGTAGGTCAATTAATGAGAAAAAAGAAATAGTTAATTGCACATAATCAAAGACAGGTATACAAAATTTGATCTCAATAAAGTATTTTACTTTTCAAATTTGTCAGATTTTGATTCAACTGTTGGTGATCATGAATTTTCAAAGCTGTTCGAGATATTTAAAATTCCCATATTAAGCTTATAGTTGACTTAAGCTTTATGCTTAACTTCAGTTGTTGAAGAAAATAACTAATATCCCATCCTAATTTGGTTTCAGGAATTTGACTGAGCTGGACATACAGGAGAATCAAATTGATGATAAAAGTGGCGGATGGCTAAGTTGCTTCCCCGAAACTTTCACATCTTTGGAAATACTAAACTTTGCCAGCCTCAATAGCGATGTCAATTTCGATGCTCTTGAGAAACTTGTACGCAGGTGCAAATCATTTAAGGTGTTGAAGGTTAATAAAAATGTAACCTTGGAACAGCTACTGAGGCTTCTTACCCATGCTCCTCAGCTTCTGGAGCTAGGCACTGGCTCATTTTTGCAAGAGCTCACTGCCTGTCAGAATTCACAACTTGAAAGAGCATTTAGCAATTGCAATAATTTACACACGCTCTCTGGTTTATGGGAAGCAACGGCCCTTTATCTTCCAGCTCTGTATCCTGCATGTACAAATCTCACTTTCTTGAATTTGAGTTATTCTGCTTTGCAAAGTTGGGAACTTGCTAAGCTTCTTGCTCATTGCCCACGTCTACGGCGCCTTTGGGTAAATTTCCTTCTGCATAATAATTTCCTCATTTGAGAAAGTTAATCTATTAAGGTAGATGAGAAGAAAAGACACTTCAACCTTTGCCATAATGACATTATAGCTTAAGCTCTGTTTAATGAACTTATCTATTTTTTCTGAAACACTGCAAATACTTCATCTATAACTGTTGAAAGAGAAGTCTTGTTGACTCATGGTATCAAATACTTGATACAGGTCCTGGACACAGTGGAAGACAAAGGGTTGGAGGCTGTCGGATCTAACTGTCCTTTGATTGAGGAACTCCGTGTTTTCCCTTCTGATCCTTATGGTGATGATATTATCCATGGGGTGACTGAATCTGGGTTTGTTGCTGTGTCTTATGGCTGCCGAAGACTCCACTATGTCCTCTACTTTTGTCGGCAGATGACTAATGCAGCTGTAGCAACTGTTGTAAAAAACTGCCCTGATTTCACCCATTTTCGTCTCTGTATAATGAACCCAGGGCAACCAGATCACATAACAAATGAGCCCATGGATGAGGGTTTTGGTGCAGTGGTGAAGACTTGCACTAAACTCCAAAGGCTTGCAGTTTCAGGTTTATTGACCGACCGCACATTTGAATACATTGGAGAATATGCTAAGAATTTGGAAACGCTTTCAGTAGCTTTCGCTGGAAAAAGTGATTGGGGGATGCAGTGTGTGCTGAATGGTTGTCCAAAGCTCAAGAAACTTGAGATAAGAGACTGCCCTTTCGGGAATGCGGCTTTGCTCTCAAATTTTGAGAAGTATGAATCTATGAGATCACTTTGGATGTCAGCCTGCAATGTGACAATGAACGCGTGTCGGCTATTGGCAAGTGAGATGCCAAGATTGAATGTTGAGGTAATGAAGGATGATGGGAATGATGATGATCAGGCTGATAAAGTCTATGTTTACCGTTCTGTTGCTGGGTCAAGAAGGGATGCCCCACCTTTTGTTCTCACTTTCTGAAGGTTGAAAACCTATTGTTCTCACCCTTTGAAGCTTAAAAAATACATGGTAATCTCTCTCTCACCCTTACACATTCCTGGGGATCTTACCACAGTCAGCAATGACAGTGTGTGCACTTGCAAATATTCATCGATTTAGTTCCGTATCTTATATGTGGTTACACACACAGGTACCTTCCATCATCAGGTTACGTGGTCTTTAATATCCTGCTAGGGGATGAAACTATTTCATGAGCCCTGCCTGTGTGCACTTGTTCGGGCTGTTCATGTTTTTCTATCATCAATCCACCAGTTCCTATGATCTATGACCTATGACCTATGACCAATATTGTTCATACAACCTCAAGTTTCTGCAGAGGACATTTAAAGACATTGGATTTGATATTTTTTCTTTGGTTCAGCTTAATAAATGGAAAGTAGAGAAAACGAAGGATGATAAATTACTGAACTTGGAATTTGTTCATTTATTATGATATACAAATTCAAGGAGAACAGGAAGGCAGTAAAGATTTATGAAGCAGAGCTTTATGCCTTCACAGCTTCCAATGGCGGGATCCTATTTGCTTCAGCAGCAAGATTGGCCGTACCCCTGAAAAGCAAGAATGCAAGGCTACCAATCAAGAAATGGATGAAGCAGCCTTGGCTGTGTGTCACAAACGAACCAAAATCTGTTCCTACTATGCACTGCCACCCAGTCCCGTATGACTCATCGAATTCCTGCATGGAAACAAGCACAGCAAAAGACACATGAATTTCAAATGATTTAGTGATGATTCAGTGCTGAGGATAATACTGGAAAGGGGAGCTGACCTTCTTTATGAATTGGGCGATTTCGGTAGGTTCAGTGATATCAAATATATCAAGAGCCTTTGCAGCTAAATGGAGCGCGTCTTGCTGCATTGTTTGAAGCATGTCAGTCTCGTTAATGACGGCTTTGCCTTCTAACATGGCTGCAGAAAACCTGCCTTTGAGTTGCTGATGTTGAGATTGGTGAAAGAGCTAAAAGCAGATGAAGCAGTCTAGATTGAAGGCATAGGCAACCGGGCTATATGGAAATTGGAACTTGAGTTTCTACACAAGTCCAGGCTTTGCGATCATTCTTAAAGAATTAATGCAATGGAATAAAGCCTGGTGGTCAGGAAACAGACAAGCTGATTGGTCATGTAAGATGGGGACATGGAAGATGCATTGCTTGTGCACTTGTTCTTGCATCTGGTTTGATCAATGGCTCAGAATCTGCGGTAGCAAAGGGCATTTTTAGTTTGGGGTCCACATTATCTCGGAGATGCAGGACGTATGTGGTTGCATAACGAATACACTTCCCGTGAGTGTCATGGATTATGTTGTGAGGTTCTTAATGAGTTATCTGTTTGCTTGTACTTCTGTTTACTTTTCTTCTCTTTGTTGATGCGAAGACCTTTTAGCTTCTGACAGATTCAGGTTCATGAGAAAAGAACCAGAAAAAGTGATCAATAAAACAGAAACTTGCTTCTCATTCAGGTCCTCTGCTTGCTTCAATGAGCCATCTGTGTTTTTCTGGGGATTGAAAGCATGCATGCACTTTACAGAATAGACAATTAAAATTTTCTAGACAAGTGTCAGGCACAAATTCATCAACAAATGGTTTGAGTGGAATGAATCTCAAATGCTTGAATAAGCAACATCATTTAGGTTTAAAGCTAAAGAAAGAGAGACAATTGGGAACTGAAATCTGTCATCGTATTAAATATGCATATAACAGATGAACATCCAATCCTAAATATTTCAAATGTGAGATTATTTACCTTAACAACTACAACACCAACTAAAATATCATCAAACGCTTTTATAATTATTCAGTGTTTGATTTGAAAGTTGGGAGAAAATCAGATTCTTTAATAATTAATAGTGCCATACTTAGATTTTATATTGATGTCCATTCATCAGAAAAGTTACAAAATAACTTTTAGATGGAATAGTTTGGTAAGAGGTCCATTCTTGAGATCATGTCTTGGAAATTATACTTGCAAAGTTCATGTGGATTGTTGCTTCTGTAAAAAAAAAAATTCAAATGTGACATTAGTAATGGTGTGAAGGGCGTAGAGAGACAATCTTATATATGGTTTACGTATCTCTTTTTAATTATAACTCTAGTGTAATTAAGTAGGTTGTGGTAAGCTGTCAAATTCAAATCTTAAGCAAATAATAACCATACAAGTCTTTTAGCAGATGCTGGTCCCATGCACGATTTCTAAGTCGCACGTCATTTTCTTGGAATGTAAGTTGTAAATGACAACGTTCTAGTCTACATGTTTGTTATCATGGCTATTTGTCAAGATCGTGAAAAAGGTGATGAACACCCAACACCTACATGTTTGAACGCTTGAGCAGAGTCCACAAGTCACCGGTCTCTCACGTAAACATATTCGGTGTCGGTGCTCGATTTAATTTTCATTTAAAACCCTGTAATTAAGTAGGAAATTTGGGATGGATGCTTGGAAGCAAAAAAAAGACACTGGTTAGAATCTTGGGGTTAAGAGTTGAGCATAATTAAGCAGCTGTTTGATATTTACGAACAAATGACAGAACTCAAAAAAAGCAGAGGTTTAGTCCCTTTTGATTGCCAAATAGTTTGAATTGCGAAACGCATCCATGGGATTGGCAAACACCAAATTTGTATAACTTTATGAAGCAACGTCTTTTGCTTTATTTTGATTTTTGATTATGAGTCACCTAGATAGCTAGCTACTTGACCAGCATTGCATTTGCAATTTTGCATTGGAGTAGATCTGATCAACATGGGCAGCAGCAATTTATTGTTATATGTACTTTTCTCTTCAAAGCTAAGGTATATATCATAACTGTGCTACTAGCTGTATCGAATTTCACTTGTTCCATACTCAAAGTGTCCCAAGCAATCACTTTCGTGCCTGGGCATCCAAGTGCCATTTCTACCTAACACTTCGTGAAGCATTAAACACCCAACATATACATATAGCACATACGGTGTTTGGCACTGATTTACTTTTAGTAATATATATATAAGGTTATTGATTATAAAGAACATGACTCGAAATTACTAAGAAACTCTCAAAAGTGAGTCCCGTATTAAACACATGATTTTATTTGACGGCATATAGCGTTTAGAATTAGGAGCTTTTATGCAACATGTGTAGCTCTACTACATGTAAGATATGGGGTCCCAAACCCTAACACTGGGTTGAGACCATGTGCAGATTCAATTATACGCAAGGGCCAAAATCTCTGCTACTGATTGTTGCTCGTTTAGCTGACGGAGTGAGTGGCTGGGGGAGGGAAAGCATGGCGGCCAACGAAGTACAAATATTTATAAAAAGTTGAATAGATAATTGACCCAAAAAAGAGCTTAACACAATAAACTAAAACCAAATTGCTGCAAATCATACGCACTATCATGACAAAATAACATGAAGATAATCCGTGAACAGCAGAATACATAAGAAGTGTTTTTGTCGTGCTATGAGACAGCGATTTAGACATCTAATCACATCATGGGTCTTTGATTTTTATTTTGGAATCCCCATTTTGTCATCTTCTAGGGTTTTAATCTGTGCAAGGCTTCCAAATCTTATCTTGTAATTTACTATGCAAGGATGCTCAATTGCCTTTCACGCTTGCTTTTCACATTTTTTTCCTTCAAACAAAAGCAGCTTTTGGCTTTTTTTAAGCTCCCTCATTATTCAGAGTTCAAAAAGTGTTATAGAAACAGCTTTGGTTCAACTTTTATAGAGATTAAGCTCCACCTCCACTTCCAATTTGATCTACAGAAGACTGATAGCTCAAGGCATCCAACAAAGGCCTTCACATGGTGGGGTGGAGGCTGTGTCATCTCCATGCCAAGGTCGTTGAAAGCTACCCCTTTCTTTTCTCTTTTCACCTAATCCAAATAGTGTCACTATTTTAAGGGTGGTCCATAACTAACCAGTCCAGTTAATTTTCTCACTAGCTATTAATATCACGGCTCTGTCTCTTGCTTTGCTGGCAGTGGTTATAATTAGTAATTTTTTTAGCGGCTCCTATTTAATTAACTTCTCCATTAACACTTAAAAAAGTTCATATAAAGTTTTTTTAAAGAACATTTCCTGTTGAGAAGGGCGACAGTATATTAAACTCACACACATTACACGGATGTTAAGACTCGAACTCAGAATCTTACCGGAGGGAAAAAAACACTTCAAACTAGTACACTAGTGGGTCCTTTGCAAGTTCATATAAAGTTAAAAGTTAGAAGTTCTTTTTTATTTTTTTGTGAACTAAAGTTAAGTTAGAAGTTGATAAAGGTCCGAGCATGGAAATTTCTTAGCATAAAAAACCTTCTTTTTCTACTCGTGAACTGAACGCAAACCTTCACTTTCTTCTCCGTATAAAGATGATTTTTGGGTAAAGCTTTGATGCCAAATTATGTCAAAGTCTTGGCCCTTCACATCTTTCAGCCATTTACAATGTGTTCTTTTATTCTCCTTTGTCTTTGCATAGGTCATGCTTGCGTCACAGATAATACATCTTCAAAATATTATATTAAGAAAAATACTTGCCTCATTTCGTGGAAGTAAGAACTAGCCCTAAAGTATTTCTAACTTGGATTTACAAGGAGTTAGGTTACTCTTCCCATTGTCAATTGATTTTGGGGTAGAACCTCAACTTCTTCACTTAATTTGTAGGAAGTAAGAATATCTCTTTCTATAAAAGGAGGAAAGACAGGTCCTTATATTAAAAAAGAAAAAAAAATCAAAAAAGATAGTTTTTTTTCTCTTCATGTTGGCCATATTTAAGGAAGAGAAATGGCAAAAGAGGAATGATGAGAATCGAACTCTCCCTATAAACCAGACGAGAATAATTGATCTTGAACTCATGGAGGGAAGAAAAAAAAAAAAAAAGAAAAAAAAAAAAAAAAAAAAAAAAAAAAAAAAAAAAACTAAATTGAGTGTTGGGAATTATGATGGTTAATTTGTTACATCTTACAATTATTTAGATTGAAATGGTTCCACTATAAAGTTTGTAAAATAATAATAAAAGAATGCACACATAATGTAAGCATTGCTTTAAAGTTTTTACCACCAATAGTGAATAATATTATCTTATTAAAAGCATGTTTAAATTGTATAGCTTATAGCGAAGGAACCATCACATACAATGATTAGATTATAATTTAGAAGAGATAATCAAAGATTAGAAGAGATAAACAAAAAACTTCCACCTCCTATAAATAGGCTCCAACTTCCAACAGATTCAGATCCCCAGTTTAATGACAAAAATACCCCTCTTTAATTTCCCACTCATCCGTCACCACCACACGCCACCCCAAAAGGCCAGCCCTGTAAAGTCACATTAAAATCCAATTCAGTGGATCAGCTGCCAAACCAGAGAGAGATAAGAGTTGGAAAGTCAGAGCCTCTCTCTTTGTTCACGATAAGATTGTCACTTAGATTCCATTCTGTTCCCAATTTCCGATCAACCTGGCCAGAATCTTCGAACCCATCTCGCCGGAATCTAACCCACTTTGCTGTTACAAAATGAGTTAAATCCAAAAACCAATGAGAACCACAAAAATGGGGGAAGAAGGGAAGGGACCCAAAGAAACAGAGCAAAGCCCAGACTCGCCGGAATCTTCAGCCGGAGCATCAAGTCTCCGGCGAGCCGTTGAGTCCATATCATCTTTGATCTCACTCTCTTTTTCCATCAAAATCTTCGCAGCGAAATGGAATACAATAAGGACCAAGCTCGAAGATTTGAACTCTGGCCTAGCGGCCGTACAAAACTGCGAAACAGATGAAAATCCAGTTCTTTTAGGCCTAGTGTCGAACATATCGGGCACGGTCAACGAGTGCCACGGTCTTGCTCGGCGCTGCGTCGATCTTTCTTACAGCGGGAAGCTTCTGATGCAGAGCGACTTGGATATGCTTTCTGCAAAACTCGATCTTCACGCAAGAAACCTCTCGGAGATTTATAACGCCGGCGTTTTGACTCACAGGTTTGCGATCGTCGTTTCGAGGCCTGGAAACGGAGCTTGCAGAGACGACATGAGGTTCTATGTGAGAGACTTGATGACAAGAATGAAGATTGGGGGCGCAGAAATGAAACGACAGGCTCTGCTTAATTTGTATGAGGCTGTGGTGGAAGACGACAGGTACGTGAAAGTCCTCGTGGAACAGAGTGACATTGTGAACGTGTTGATCAGCCTTCTTGATTCGCATGAGGCTGAAATCCAAGAATGGTCTGCGAAGGTTGTTTCTGTAATTTCTGGGTTTGGTTCATATAAGGTTGTTCTCATCGGAGCTGGGATCATAGCGCCATTGATTCGGGTGTTGGAGTGTGGGAGCGAGGTTGGGAAAGAAGGGGCTGCAAAGAGCTTGCAGAGATTGACTGAGAATTCCGATAACGGGTGGTCGATTTCAGCTCACGGCGGTGTCACAGCTCTGCTTAAATTATGTTCCGGTTGTGAAGGTGGTGATGTGAGAGCAGAGTTGGTTGGTCCTGCTTGTGGGGCACTCAAAAATCTTGTTGGGGTCGAAGAAATAAAGAGATTCATGGTTGAAGAAGGTGTAATTTCAACGTTTATTGGGCTTACACGGTCGAAAGATGAAGTTTTGCAGATAAATTCGATTGAATTTCTGCAAAATATAGCGTCTGGTGATGAAGCAGTTCGTAGCATGGTGATCAAAGAGGGTGGAATTCGAGCACTGGTTCGTGTCTTGGAGTACAGATCAGCTTGTTCTTGTAAAGTGAGGGAGACAGCATTAAGGGCAGTAGAAAATTTGTGTTTCTGTAGCACAAGTTGTGTTAGTGTTTTGATCAGGTATGGCTTTGTGGAGCAACTTATGTCCTTTCTTCGAAATGGAGAGGCTTCAATTCAAGAACTGGCGTTAAAAGTTGCAATTAGAATGTGTGCAAAATCAGAGGAAGCCAAGAAAGCACTGGGGGGTGCAAATTTTATGACAGAGCTGGTTAAGTTTCTTGATTCAAAGTCATTTGAGGTTCGAGAAGTGGCGGCTGAGGCACTGTCGAACATGGTCTCCATCCCGAAAAATCGAAAACGATTCGTGCAGGATGATCGTAGCATGGGCCTCCTTTTGCAGCGGTTTGACCCGAAGCAAGGAAACTCAGGTAACAAGAAGTTCTTGTTCTCCATATTAATGTCATTGACAAGTAGCAACAGCGGGAGGAGGAAGATTGCGCATTCGGGTTATTTGAAAAACATTGAGGAACTTGCAGAAGCAGAAGTTTCAGATGCCAAGAGACTTGTGAAGAAGTTGTCAACAAACAGATTCCGCAGTATGTTGAGTGGAATCTGGCATTCTTGAGCCAATGTAGCTTCGGTCTGTATTGATTTAATTTTTGTTCGCATTTTTGTTTATAAATTGTATATGTGCTCTGCTCAAGTTGGAATTCCATTTCAGTTTTGTTAGATCTTCTTTCACAATGGCAGTCTCACAACAGCTTTCTGTTGTTAAGATACTCTGGCATTGCTGCCGCCACAAGGAATGAATGATAGGAGAGAATGCAGTTGCATTTATTCAAGTCAGATTATTTACATAATATTTTGTTGGTGTATTATTAGGAAGGAGCACATGGGAAAACCATGGATGGGCATGTGAGTAGAGGCTGATCTAACCTTTGTGAAGAGAGAAGATAGTGATAGACGAAGTCTCCTTACTGTATTTGCTTGTTTTTTCACATGACATTGTCTCTTGTGAAGACCTGCCTTTCAGCATCATGCAGAAACAGAACTGTAAATAACATTTCATGCGTCTTTTTTCCTTTTTTTTTTGAAGTGTATTATAAAATCAAGATTTTTAAGCAATGTCCTCCTGCTAATTTGAATGGTTTTTAAGTCTTAAACTCTTAATGAAAAAAAGAAAAGAATGCGAATTATTAGTTAGACAGAAAGGGGGGTTGGCTTCCATGCTCAAGCTGCTCATTAGGAAACAATGTAGGGTACCTGGACTTGGACAAGTAGTAGACCGTGAAAGTTTCTTCTGATTCTTGACAGGTTGGGTATTGATTGTGTGTTTATGTTATGATTACCCCAAAAAAATTAAAAAAAAAAGTTGAGTGTTCATAATAATATGATCTTTGATTCTTTTTTCCCCGAATGCCATTGACATGACAAAGTGTGATTAAGTTGGGATTGGCTTGCTTGTTTGGGCTTAGGTACTAAGAAGAGAAACCAAGAGCTTGTAGCCTCTCTCTCTCTATATATATATATGGGCCTTGGAATGGGATCATCTTCAATTCCTCCTCCGGGGGTGAGCTTAATGGGTTTTGATGTTAACGGTCTTATCATGGAGTCATTGCTACTAGGCGTCTTCCCAGTCAAAAAGGGTAAAGCATCAACTTGGTCTTGGTGACTTCGGCTTTGGGTGCAACCAAATTTGAATTATTCTAGTGCTGGCTGTATTGACTTGAGCAGTCAAGTCAATGGCACGGAGAACCATTTCTGCAGATTAATATTCTGGACTTACCTGCAAAAAGCAAGCTGAGTTCATATATAGAAATAGAAAGAATGGTCCCAATGAATTAGAGTTGGCCTTCAATAATGTCCAAAGCTTCATCAATGGTTTTATTAATTACAACTCTGTTAGTATTTCCTGATATTTAATTTTAATTAAAATTTCGTTGGGTACGTATTAGATTCCTAATTAATTCACTAATATATTCTGCATGACTTCATCTAACCAATCAATGAAACTTCAAAGGCATGCATTATTTTAACTATCATTAGTATCTATAATAATAATAATTAAGTTCATAAGGAGGAGAGTTTAACGGCACTCGCATGCACGTTCTTCTGTCTTGTTGTTATATGAACAAGTTGGTAGTTAGTCACATATCACAAAACTACAACACCAGGAAGATGATGATGAGATCGATGCTGGCTGATTGATGCTTGCTGGTTGAAGAATATGTATACACAACAGCAAATTGGGCAACTTGCACACATTGGACTTCACGTACCCCTCCTTCCTCTCCTCTCCTCTCCTCCCCTCCACGAGTACTAGAACGGCAAAATGTTATATCACGAGGACAGCAAATTGTTTCAATTTCAGAAAAATCATGCCAATTGAGAACCAAAAAGTTAAAGGATGTTTATCTTTTATCTTGATTCTTGGTGGTTGTTTGAAAATATATGTACATATCGTTTTTAGTTTTTAAATTTCTTTTGTTTTACTTTCAAACTTTAATAATAATATAATACAAAGTCTTCAAAACCTAATAATTAAAATTGTTAGTTACATATGAGGTATCAACATACAATTTAAATTATCGCTTGTACTCAACGGAATGTTTAAGCTAAAATTGGTCAACGGATTCACGAACCAACAAGAAGCTAGCTAGCGTATACCCATGGGAACCAACCATATGATCATCACCTTGTCAAGTTGTCATAGTATCAAACTTTTCGTCTGTCGGATCGGATCCATGTTCTACGTCCTAGGATCAGCCATGCTTTCAGCTAACTATGACCAAATTAAATAAATGGGAACGATCCACTCAATACCAATATTTCATGCCATGTTGGTTGACTTTTAAATTAGTTTTTTCTTTTCTTATTCTTGTATTTCTGGAAGTTGACTTGGAAGGGCTTACATATCTCTACCTTATCTTGTTTATAATATAGAAAAAAAAATAGCAGATAATTGGGAGATATATAAAAGAATGCATGGAGAATTGGAGATGGAGGCTTTAGGCTTATCCAGTAGCTACATGTGAGTCTTTAACCTTTAAATGCATATGGGAGGAACGCCAGCTTGCTAAATAGCAATAGCTGGCTAGATTAATCCTTAATTAACCCTTAATTATGACCAATGATGGCTAAATGGGAATGAATGTGTGTGTTTGCTTTGCTTTGCTTTCTATTAATTGATGATTAATATGTTAATCTCTATCCAAATCACCGCATGTTGGAGAACAATATGGGCCAGATTCACGTAATATTATGATTACCATTGGAGCATCTTATCCATACATTAAGCAATGTGAACAAAAAATTTACACGTTTTTTCATATTTTCAAATGAATTTTTTATTATTTGAGATTGAATTAGTGGATGCAAACTTTACGAAAGATAAATAATTAGCATTATTTATGGATTTCTACTCAAATGATATGAGATGAGTGGCAACGACGAGTTCTAATTCATTGTTGATCTTTTCAGTGTTCATTTTGTCCTTAACGCAAAAGTCACGATATGTATGAAAATAGGACGAAAAACACTTGATGTATCAAAATGCTAAAACTCGGTAAACTAAACCTAGTAGTAAAATGAAAATTATCCTATTATTATTTTTAAACATAAATGTAAGATCAACAACAACACATCAACAAAACTATGAACCTACTTTTATGCATTTTTTTAACAGTATGACATACTAAAATATTAGTATAAAGGGAAAAAGAAAGAAGAACAGAATAAACATTAAAAGTAAAGGTTGAAATAAGAGACAATTAGACAGAATCACAATCTAGAGGGCTCTTATGCCGGCCTGTAGATACGATTACTAACAGAATAAATTAGAAATCAAATTAATTAATTTTATAAAATTGATCAAGATGAGTCATAAGCTATTGATTATATGAAGTGAGTCTTTCCTTTCCCGTAAAAGTTAAAATCGTCCTATGACTATTTTGTTTTTATTTAAATGACGAATACAAAATATTATTTTTCTGTGTGACAGTCATATCGTATTTATTTATTATCGATCATATTGTTCGTTCATATTATAACCCGGATGCAATGAAAACGAATTCTCACTCTAAGCAAGATTTTCATTCACGTGTGAATGCAGTCATGGTACGTGTGAGTGACCCATGAGTCATGACAGCTTCGATAAGTTAAGTTGGAGAGCGAGAGAGCATGAAGTCACTGTCCCTCATGATGAAATATGACTAGACGGCCACGATTGCAAATTTTAAACCGCAGTGGTTCCCACATCCGTTGCATAGACTTTGTTTTTGTATGGGTCAAAGTCAAGCCAGCAATGTTTGAAAATTGAAACCCAAAGGGATTTATTTTTTCTTTTAGTCCTCTAAACTTTACAACGGTACAAATAATATTAAATATAATATAATCTGTCCAACAGTCCAAGTGGAAACACTTGCTTCTGGGCAGTGGGAGGAGTGGCTATCTGTGAATTTATGGGATTTTTCATAAGCAAATAACATGGAGGTTTTTATTTATTTATGTTGAAATGAGGGATTAATTCCTAAACATAAAAATAAAAAATAAAAACTAAATAATAGAGACGCTACGAGTTCTAGGAATTCTTAATACATCATCATCAAAGATATCCTCAATCCCGCTAAGAATATCATCAAGCACAAAGAACTCAAAATCAAAATTATAATTCTCTTTCCTTTCGCTAAACAGTCAGCCATCATGTTTTTCTCCCCCATAGACATGGTCCATCACACAATTACTCACTTGTCCGAAATCAAAAAAATCTGACAGAAAAGTATATGAAACTGAAAGCGAGCTAACCTCTAAATAGAAAAAGTGAAAAGAGGCCATATAAGAAATCAAGCAGTTGGTTTGGAAGAAGATTTAGGGGCCCAGAGAATACGTAAAAGAGTTTTCTTTCTCCTTTTAATTTTCAGTCGCTTTTCCTTTATTTGAGTTTTTTTATTTTATTTTACAAAAGAAGTCATATTTCTTATTCACATTGTAATCTAGCACCAAATCACAACGAATTAAAACAATAACTGATGCATCTCATTCAACAATTAGCCGACATGTTTTTTTTTCTTTTTCTCTTCTAGTCTATTCTAAGTTCTCCATATGTTCTCATGTAGATGTCACTTGTCATATATGAATCATCTTGTGTTACGTCATTAATATCAAAATTAAACATCTTGTGGATAACCTAACAAAGCTAATCTAAGTTTATAAGGTAGGACTAGTTTCCATAAATGTTGTAAAACGCGTATCAAAACAATTTGGAAACATTTTAATCTTGTGATGGAAACGCAATGTTCGGAAATTAAAGCCAAATTTCCATATCATGCCTCATATATATTTCTTTCCGCATTATATGGAATGAATATAATCAAGACACTAAATTGTTTGGGTAATTACACTCTCATGACTTGTTATCTGTAGTGTGAAAGAAGCCACAAGCGAAAGTCTTGAATTTAAAATATATGGATTTACGTATAGTCTCATTCTTATCCTTAACCACCAAATCACAACGAGTTTGTATAGAAAATTATATATCTAAAATACTATACCCCACATAAAATTCATGTTTTTCATTACCTCTTTCCAAAGCATAACTGAGAGATTGCTCAAACAGCAAGCAAAAAA